TGAAGCTAGCCATTGGAAACCGGTACGGATCCTCGGTCAGATGGAAGGTATAAATGTGAAAGCCATCTCTTGCGGACTTTGGCATACAGCTTTTGTGACATCAGAAGGTAAGCTGTTCACATTCGGTGATGGCACTTTTGGTGCGCTTGGACATGGTGATCGTGTAAGCACAAACATACCTAGAGAAGTCGAGGCGTTAAGTGGGTGTAGAACGTTGAAAACAGCTTGTGGCGTTTGGCATTCAGCTGCGGTTGTCAATGTTTTCGGTGAGAGCACAACAACGACGACGACATCGGGGAAGCTCTTTACTTGGGGTGATGGCGAGGATGGGAAACTCGGACATGGTGATAAAGAGTCTAGACTAATACCATTGTGTGTCACTGAGCTGGATGCAACTAGCTTTCAACAAGTAGCTTGTGGCCAGAGCATTACTGTCGCTCTCTCCGTCTCTGGTCAAGTTTACGCAATGGGAATTGCTGATCCGAGTCAAGACAATGTCGTGAGAGCTCCTTCTTGCGTTGAAACCGGTCTAGGGAAGAGCTTCGTGCAAGAAGTAGCTTGCGGGTTTCACCATATCGCTGTCTTAAACTCGAAAGCAGAGGTCTACACTTGGGGACGAGGATCAAACGGACAGCTTGGACACGGAGATACAGAGCACAGACGCATCCCGACTCTTGTGAGAGCTTTGAAAGGTAAACAAGTGAGGAAAGTGGTGTGTGGCTCTAACTACACAGCAACCATTTGTCTTCACAAACCGATTACGGGTACTGACAGCTCTCGGTGCTCCGGCTGTCGACATCCGTTTAACTACATGAGGAAGCTCCACAACTGTTACAACTGCGGGAGCGTCTTCTGCAACTCATGCACTAGCAAGAAGTCTTTAGCAGCAGCCATGGCTCCCAAGACGAACAGGCCTTACCGCGTCTGCGATGACTGTTACGTCAAACTCGAAGGAGTTAGAGAATGTTTAGGAACTCCGGCGAGTAGCGCCAGGTTCTCAAACGCGAGCCTACCATCTATGAGTAACGAGATGGAAGAGTTAGGCATCACACCGCAGCGTCAGATTCTTAGAGTGGATTCGTTTGATTTCTTTAGACAATCCAAGATCCCTGATCTTAAAACCATTGGTGAGACCTCAGGAGGAAGCTACACTTCGTCGACGATTCACTCGAGTATGGACATTAAAGGTAGTTTCAACCTGAGAGGGATGAGACGACTCTCCAGGCTTACCTCTTTTGATTCGGTTCATCAAGAAGGCAAGCAACGTGCCAAGCACTGCGCTTCGAAATCAGACACGTCCTCTCTTATAAGACACTCGGTGACTTCTGGTCTCCCGTTCTCACGTCGAGGCTCTGTTGACTTGTTTCCTCTGTCGATCAAATCGAGCCCTGTGGAGTCTGTTGCGACTACTTCGGACTTCACCACAGACATTACGGATACGGAGCTGCTGCAAGAAGGGACAAGGAAATCGAAGCAGTGCCTCAACAATGAAATATCACTACTCAAAGCACAGGTTAGTGAGTCCAAAGAAAAATTTGTCTGTAGTTTGTGGCTGAAAACAGGTTAATAAAACTTTATTACTACTCAGGTGGAAGAGCTTACACGAAAATCGAAACAACTAGAAGACGAACTTGGAACGACTTCGAAGAAGCTTGAAGTTGCGATGCTAATGGCGAGAGATGATGCAGAGAAGATCAAATCTTCTGAGGAGATAGTCAGGTCATTAACTCTGCAGGTACATTTACATTCACATTTGCTAGTCTTACTAAATATGATTCTCGAGCTCCTGTAATGGAGATTTCACTATTTTTTGCTTCTTCTAGTTGATGGACGTGACCAAGAAAGAAGTAGACAAGACAAGGAAACGTCGAAGCTCGTTTTGATCTAAAGTTTAAACCTTTATGAAAGTAGAGCAAAGAGATGGAAACTAGAATAGATTTGAGAATTTTGGGGTTCAGTGTAATATACAAGAAAGATTTCTCTATTATCAAATTATAGATCAAACGTAGTAACTAATTACAGAGTAAGAACAGAGAACAACACACACTTGTGAATTCGTAATTGACAAACAGAGAAAGAAAAAAAAGTTGGAACCTCTTGTTTCGTGTGATTTTGATTTTCAGTGAAAAATCGTCAGAAGCTTCTTCATTTCGCTGACAATGGCCAAGCTAATACTCATCATCTGATTCGCCGTCTCCATCTCTATCTTAATCTCGTTCCCCACAACTGTTCCCATTTCCTCAAGCCCGTCGGAGCAAGTCTCACCGTCGGTCATGGCGGCGCTGATCCAGGTCTTGACATCTCCGACGACCTCTTTCGTCAACCAATTCCCTCCCTTCTTCTTCTCCGTCTCGATCTCTGACACCGACTCGTTGAGTTGACTCAGCGCGTTTGCGTATAGCTTCACGCAGTCGCCGACCGCAGCTTCCTCAGGCATGTCGTTGATTGATCGGAAAGACATGGAGAGGCTCGATACCTTTTTAGAAGCGATTCGAATAGTTAGCTCGAGGACTGATTCAGCGTCGAATTTTTCGATAGAGTTTCGATCCGATTCGAGTGAAGAGGATAACGCGTCGAAGCATGTCTCTGGGTAACGAGTCACGGCACAGACTTCCTTGAGAGAGTCGGAGGAGACGGAAGGATGGTGGGAAGGACGAGTGAAGGCTCCGGCGGCTAAGGCGGCGATGGAGAGGATTAAAAGGAGAGATACGACGGAGGCGGTGGCGATTAGGGCTTTAGGGGAAGATGGTTTGGGGAGTGGAGAAGGAATCTGGTTTTCTTGGTCGGATACTTTGCCGTAGCCTTTCAAGGTGGTAATCGACTCCATTGAACACGATAATTGTTAACGAATGTGGTTTCTGATCGGAGAAATGGGAAGAAGAAGATGAATCTGTGATTTGGGATTTTGATTGAGAAAAGTCAAATGAAGGAATGTGGACTTTTGTACCATTGAGCCCCAACGAATCTCTGACTTCCACGTCTTCTCTCTCAAAAGATTCAAATATTTTGCTTTTGCTCCCACACGCGCGTGCGTACGTGTGTAATCAAAGTTGCTAAATGAATGCTAACCATAAAATGTTAGATATGAGACAATGGGTATGGCCTATATGCTTCTAGCCAGGTTTGGTAATTAAATTTCATTTCGTTAATCTTTCTCTAATTTCGGTGTAATTGTATCAGATTACGAATTACTTGTTTATTTATTGGTTTTCACAAATATTCATTTATTTGTTGAAATTGTAATATAAAACTCTCCACTACTGAAAAATATAGTTTTAAATCTTCTAAAAATATTTAACTCCGGTCTGATGGAGTCATCTACAAAAAAAATTGAAATCTTAAACAAAATCTATTGAATTAAGTGTTAGTTGCATCTCTTTCAATTTATGCATTACATATTTTTGTTACATGTTTATCAAACTTCAATGGGAAATGAAAATTAAAAGATAATGTTAAATCTTTCCATTTTTTTGGTATCCAAACATTATATTAACTCTATGGTTTGATTGAATGTTTGCTTAAACATAATGTATCTCATCGATCCGAGACAGTTTAGAGCTTATTCTACTTTTTTCGGGCAAAATAATTTAGTTAGTTTTAATATACATATGAGAATGTTTTGCTACATTTTTTTTTTAAATACAGCCTTAATTGACATGTTTCTTTTCAAAACTATATATCTAGGTATCAATTTAGAAAACTACACATTTTTAATAAATAAGAGAAATCTAAACCATATAATCTAACTCACAAACCTAAAACCTAGATCTTAGTTAATGATTAATAAGCATATTAGAAGATGTATAATTTAAAATATGGATTTCATAGAAGTGTACTTTTGAAAATTGATTTTAACAAAAAAAGTTTTGAAAACTGACATCCAAATAATAAAATTTGAGATGTTTCATAATTTTTTTCTCTTTTAACTAAAGGTAAATCTGTTATGCAAAATATTCATGTTATTATAACAAAAATAAATTAATTGCAGAATATCCATATTCTTTTAGAAATAAATAAATATTAAATCATAGAAATATTCTTTCCAAATAAAAAAAGCTATAAGTTTGTTCAATGTAAAATAATCAGGAAAATGGCATAAAAACCTACCAAGTGGCAACCACTAGCATTTTAAACATATAAATTTTTTAACTAGCAGTTCTAACCCTTAGTTTGTAGAATTTTTTTATTTTGATAATGGAATAGTATCCTCTAACAATAATATATTGATTTTAAAGACACACACCTGCAGCTTTAATTGCCTTTATTTTCATATTTAACTATTGTTTATGTTATATGATATATCTTGTTGTATATGTTAAGTTTTCAATTTAATGATTCAATTTTCATAAAATCAAGCAAATTGATCAGAAAACTAATACATATTGTTGTTGAAAAATACTATTTTGTTGTCGAAGTTGAAAATATGATCAAAACAAATACGAATACAAACATACGTATTAAATTAAAGATTATATGCGTTAAAAATTTCAGTTTGATGGTTTAAATTACAACTTTTATGGTTTAAAATGTAAATGGCTGACACTTTTATGATTTTTTATGTAATTTTCCCGTAAAAACATCTATTTAAATTGGTGTCATATATTTTCGAGTTTTAAAAAAACAAATATTGTTAACAAATAACAATCACGCAAAACATTAACATCCTATGGCCTATGCCAATAAAATAAATATAATTTAATAAAAATTAAATTTGCCACCTTTCCGGTTGCCGCTGCCAGCGTTACCTCTCTCTACTTTGTTCACTTTTCCGTCTCTCTCTCTCACTCACTCCGACCTTTTCCCTTTTCTCTGCTTCCGTTTCTCTTCTTCACAAGCAAACCCAAAGCAGATCGAACCAGAATTTTTATTCCTTTTCCGTAACAAAGAACAATCCTTGACGGTTTCTACTAATTTTCCATTTATACTCAAACATTTTATCGCTCTATTTTATAAAGGGGGTTCTTATTTTTCCTTTGGGTTTAGGAGACAAGCAAGCTCAGATGGCGACGAATATCGGAATGATGGACAGTGCTTACTTCGTCGGAAGAAACGAGCTTCTGACTTGGATCAACGATCGTCTTCAGCTCAATCTCTCTCGCGTCGAAGAGGTATGTTGTTGGATTTGGCGAGTCTGTATCTGCATGTGTGCCTTTCTCTGATTCTTCTATAGTTCCCTTCTGCTATCTCATCTGAGAAGAGAGTTGCAAAATGCTTGCGCAATTCTTTCAAGGATTTTCTGTTTGTAAATCGGCAGGACCATTGATTTATACAGCGGATTTCCCTGGTGATGGTGGTAGTGCTAGATTTGGTTCATTTGCTGGATAATTTTGGGAATTAGGGTTTTAAACTTTGCGAAAATTGCAGATTTAGGTTTGATTGTGTTTCAATTGGATTTGGTTATGAGATTGGGACTAAGTTATGTTGAGTGTTATGAGAGTAAGGTGATGTTTAAACAAGAGGAGCAAAGGGCTTTTGGCTTTGATTTTGATAATGTATACTTGTTTAGTTGTGTTGAGTGTTAAAAGTTGCAATGCCATAGATTCACTGTTGTTATTGCTATGAGTATGAGAGGAAAATGCTTACCAAACAGAAGGATCTAATGAGCCTTATTAGTGTTTTATTGAACTGTTCTTAAGTGACATTGTTTAGAGACTGTTGTTTTTGTTCTAAGTAAAGATTATCTCGGTTTTTCTGTAGGTTGCATCTGGTGCTGTGCAATGTCAGATGCTTGATATGACATTTCCAGGAGTAGTGCCAATGCACAAGGTAATTATACATTTATATATGATTTGCATATTTAGTTTTGCTTCTTGGTGGCGTAATATCTCAAATTCTCTTCTGCAAGGTTAATTTTGATGCAAAGACCGAGTACGATATGATACAAAACTACAAGGTCCTGCAAGATGTGTTCAACAAGCTGAAAATTACGAAGGTAAGATCATTCATATCTCAGTTTGTCAGCTTTCTTGTGATGCATTTATCAACTCATCTTGTTTGTCTTACTGAGTAAATACCTCAGCCATTGGAAATTAACAGGCTTGTCAAAGGCCGGCCACTGGATAACTTGGAGTTTCTTCAATGGCTGAAGCGTTTCTGCGATTCCATAAATGGTGGGATCATGAATGAGTATGTGGTTTCCTCGGTCTGATTTTTGGAATTTTTTTTAACCCCTTCATTGTCTCTCAAACAGTTTAAAACTGATGGTTTCTTATAGGAACTATAATCCGGTGGAACGAAGATCTAAAGGTGGTAAAGAGAGGAGTGTTAAGGGAACTAACAAGATGCCAAAGTCTCTGCAGACAAACAACAATCATGCTCCACCAAATTCCTCTTTGGTTGGTCTTAGCAAAGCCTCAGGTCTGCCTGACAAAATCAGAGTCTTGATCCAAACAATAATAGTTATAGTATGTACCTTTCTTATTAAGCATCGTTGGAATCATAATTCTCAGGGCCCAAGCCAGCAAAAGCAGCTGACGTGAAGGCTTTGTCAAAGGAGGTACACTGTATAAGCTTCTTTATTAGCTTTTGCCTATGCTCTTAGCCTCTTAGCTTTTGTCAGATATAAACTATTTTTCTCCTTTGTTCACGAGTAACTGAAGCTTCATTTTTGTCTTGTGCGATACAGCTTACAGATCTCAAGCTCTCTCTTGAGCTCTTGGAAAAAGAAAGAGACTTTTACTTCTCCAAGCTTCGGGATGTAGAGATACTTTGCCAAACTCCGGATCTTGAGGATGTTCCGGTAAGTCATACCCTAGAACAACCTTATCTCATTCTTCTGTTTACTTTACTCACCAAATCGCAGTGAATTAACACAGAACCAGATCTTTTTGTTCCCTTCTGTTATAAGTATATCATATCATTCTTAAACCAATAAGCAAATAAAGAGCACATTTAGTTTTTCGCTTTATCTGAAGTCAACTTTTGCCAAGGTTATCATGTTTCTAATCTGATATATGCTTCCATGGAACGCAGATAGTGGGAGCAGTGAAGAAGATACTCTATGCAAATGATGCAAATGAATCTGCACTAGAAGACGCTCAAGAGTTCCTTAACCAGTCCCTAGGAGTTCAAGCTGGAGATGAAGGTAGCGGAGGACAAGAAGAGGAAGACGAAGAAGAAGAAAGGGCTCAAGCCTAAGCTCTGACTATTAACAACAATCCTAAGTAGAAGAATCAACTCTTGTTCCAGATTGGCGAACAATGGCTGGCCTTGGCCTTCTCTTCAGAGTTTCCTATGCTTAAGGAAACTTGCTAAAACTTGAAGATGAATGAGCCTAGTTTGAGAAGAATGAGACTTAGTTTTGTTACGACTCAAAACCAAAACTTTAGAACTACCAAGTCCAGTGCTCATTTTACCATTCAGGATGCTTTTTCTTGTTTTTAAAAAGGTTACTTTGAGCCAGAGTGAGAATCTTGAAGCGTCGAGTTTCTTTATTTCCCTATTAAATCACAAATCATTAAGGAAAATAAGGTCATAACTAGTCGAAACAAAACCAGAACTTGTTTCATTTTAAGATCATGATTTGAGTTTTATGTCACAAATAAATGAAATCAAATCAACTATTCGTATTGTGCGCATCTAAGCAACACATATATATCAATGAGATGTGGATACTCTGAAAAGGCTCGAACTAAGAGAACACTCTACTCTTAGCTACCTTCTTGGCTTCAGCTTCACTCAGATATCGAACTCTGTTCTCGCGTAACCACTTCTCGCCTTTGCTCAGACCGTCCTTCACTTGCTTCTCTTCCATCTTCAGCAGCGTTAGCCCTTCACTTAGTTTAGGGAAGAAACCTTCTGGTCTAACGCACCACGCCCTGAAAACCCCATATAGAACCTCCATGTCCTCTTTAAACCTTTCGACTCCATCATCAGAAAACTTCACATTCCCCATCAATATGCTGTTGAAGAACAACTTGTCTATCTCTGATGCTAGACTCCTCCACATAGCTGTGAAGTCTGCTTTGTTTAGATTTTCTTCCATTATCGATGTTTTCCCTTGTAAGTAGTCTAGAGCACCAACTAGTGATCTCGACACCGTCGATTCTTTTTCTTTCTTCTCCTGCCATTGCTTTCTGTTTTTCATGTACTCTCTAGTTCGAGCATCAAAGCCTCTCACGACCACCACAGACAACTTGTTTATCCACTCTACCCGGAACTTCTCCAACTTCTCAAACTCGTCTCCGAAAATACCTTCAGAAGCTTCTGTAAAGTTATCCACTCCTGGACCTTCCTGACCAGTTCCCAATTCGAGGAAGAAGACATCCTCGCACCATTCTTCCAAGACTGATTCAATGTAGTGACCAGCGTTGATAGAGTTTGAGACCTTGATTAGGTCGTTGTTCTCGGTTAAAGAAGTTAGTCCTTCGGCATATTGGCACCTGAGAAGTAAGCTATCCAAAAACTTCTGAATTATTGGTGAGGCTGCCAATCTCAAGAACCTTGCCCTCAAGTAAACCGCTGGCACTGATTTCGATCGTTCGATTACTGACGATAAGTGCTGGAGAAAGAGGCTGCAAACTACTGGTGGTCTATAAACGTTGGAAGTGGATATGAGTTCGTCTTGGACCTTCACTGTCCAATTCCTGTCGTTATCCACCTCCGCCTTGAACTGGACGAGCCTCTCATCTAGCTCAATCTCTGCCCATATATCCAGCCAATCAGGTCTGTCACAGAAAACTGAGAGAGATGAAATCCTCAAAAGATTCCCGTCTTCTTGGAGCGAAAGTATTCCTGATTGCGATACCAGAGACTGAACCCGCTTGTCAAAAGAGATCATCAGGTCAATGAGATGCAGCCACGAGACCTTGGCCTCAGAGCGAAGATCAGTCTCGCTTGCTTCGTTTATCTGAGCAACATATACAGGGAATATCTCTTTCACCAAGTACAAAGACAACGAGCTTACCATAGCAGAAACCCACTCTTCTCTGCAACTGTACCCAGCTAGTTTTGCTTCATCAACGAGCGGTTGTAACAACTCATCCATAGAGTCCACATAGTCCCTAGTGATCTTATACACAAGAGCGAATATGAATTCAGGCTTCTCGCTCCACTTTGTAAAATGACGCTGAGATGCAACTGTGAGAGGGTTGACCAGCTCTTCAATAGCCCAGAGTGGCTGGTGAAAAAGAACATTCTCTCCCTTATGGCTTCCAAGTTGTCGCGCCTTTCTTTGCAGCTGCAACCCCTGCAGGCTGCACAAGGCATGGAAATTCCCACAGTACTGGCTTTTGAGCTTCCCTGCCATGTTGAAAAGCGGATTCTGGACACTCTCCGACTTTGAATCAAGGCTTGATGAAGTCAGGTTAGAAAGCTGATGTGGCCATTTAAGAGAAGTAAGCAAGGATCTGTAATCAGCAATTGCTTGAGGTCTCAGCATGGCTAAAGCTCTATCTACTCTGTGATCAACTGCAGAAACAAGACGTGCCCAACGAGGATGTTTTCTTGCCACTAAACTCAGTATCTCTTCCGTCTTTTTAAGTGTGTTGACAGCATGTAGACGCACTTCCTGAAATCAGTAAAAAATTTAAAACAATGATCCACACACAAAAGGTCTAAAGTTTTATACAGAGTACTCTAGCTGAAGACAGTGTGCTTACTTCAAAACTGCTTGACCGAGATGTTATCAAGTTTTTATTCATAGAAGACATCACAGCATCCTCGATATCACCCACTAGAGTGTCAAGTTTTAATGCAGTCTCTGAAACATAGAGAAAAAAAATGAACACTACGATGTTCAAACTAAGAAGGAAGATTGGATATTCAAAATTTGGGTGATCTAATCTCGATTTTCCAGCTATGAAATGCTAAACACCTTAACACCAAAAGAAGCAAACTTACCAGCATAAGCACGCACAGACTCAACTTGTGCGACCTCCTTTGCCAGTGATGGAAGCTCCATCGTCTCCTCCTCCTTTCCGCCATCTGAACGAATAAGAAAGACAACATTTCTCAAATTTTAGCGGGAATGTATCTAACGAACGTCACAATTTTGCCAGCATTGCAAAAATCTCTTTTGATCACAACATTTCACGATCACAATCTGCGTTTCGCTGTTTCTCAATCGTGATTAAATTATACGAACCTGACGCGGAGCGAGGGACGCAGGCAGAAGAAGAGAGATCAGCCAACTTGGCATTAACTCCGGAAAAAAGACCGCCGGCGCGATCTGAGAAGGAGGCGTAAGCGGCAAGACCGGACTCGAGCTGGCGATTCAGCCCGGCCAATCTCTGATCCAATTCGGAAATCTCGGTCTGCAATCCGGAAACCAGAGCCGGAGACTGGGAGAGATCCTTGGCGTCTCTGAAACTGTCATCGAGGAAGCTAAAGACCGAAGCGGAGAAGCTGGAGACCTGAGGAAGTGGCTTGATCGCGTCCATTCGCGGTTCGTCGTGGCTTCAATTTCATTGAGATGAAATGAGAAAATTCGTTAGAAGAGGATACTGAGTCAGTGACTCGGAGTGTGTTCACGAGTTGAATCGGACAATTGGGCCTTACTTGGCCCATTTTGTTTCTTATCGAGTAAAAATGGTTTTTTGTTTTTCCCCTCAAATTCGAAAACATTATGAAAACAAAAAATGATAGAAGTATTGTTGTGCAAATGTGAAGATCATTGTGTGAAAGTTTTTTTTTTTTTTTTTTTTTTGGTTTTACTTGTGTGAAAGTTATAGACGAATCCACATTACACCTTTAGTTTTTTCATGTGTAACGAGTGAACGTATATATAATTATCTATCATCAATTTGTTATATGTCGTGGATCTTCACTTGTTTTATTTATATGTTTTCTATGTGAATATTCTCAACTAAAACTAAAAGGGAAAGTTTTCTGTAAACTAGTCCATAAATGAAAAACTTCATAAATTTTCTCCAGCTTAGCATGCGAAGTGCCTAAGACTCCCCTACAAAAATTACAATAAATATGTGGAAAATTAAGTGGAACGACGGAATCGCACCGGCAAACTCAGTATTAGTATTTGCATGCATGCACATGCTTATTAAAGCGAGAGTGTGTGATGTACACGCGTATGTACTATGTATATATTATGATTGAAATAGTCAAATAGATAATGAATTTCGTGCTTTCTATGAAAAACTGTAGTATTGAGACTTGAGTAGTACTCTCGAATAGTATATTTTATACAAGACAATAACACAGAAGCGAATAATTCAGACAGAAACCATATGGCAAAGAGATCTCCGTAATCTTTCTTGGAATTCCATTGCATAAAAATCTAATAAAGTTTATAAAACTCCTTCAACTTGGGTTTCTCCACACTATTTTATAAAATATTCTTATATGTTACTTAGTTTATGTTCGGTTAGATATGATTACATATTCCCTTTTAGGTCAACTGATCCTAGATGACAACTGATTTTAGATGTAAGGCTAGCTAGAGTCGTAACAACAAAATTATATAGAGATGTGTTGATTTCATTTTTAATGTTTCTTGCTTTCAAAAAAAAAAACCGTTTGAATTAGTGAATTCTAAATGTCACGTTTCATTCCGTTTTTCTATATAGCTTGTACATTCTTTTCTTGAAACACGTAGCTAGTTACAAAATTAAATCGTATTAAGTAATTTTTTTTTAAAAAATAACACAGAACATATTAACATAAACTTATAGTTCAAAAACTTAAAACTTAGGCGGGATCTTTCTGCCTACGACATCTGAAATTTTGGTTGGATGTTAGTGTTTTTTTGGTTAAGGGCATAAAAAAAGTTGGATGTTAGTGAAACTGTAAAAAAGTTTTCTTATTTGGAATGAAAATTGAAAGCAACAAGCTTCTTTTTCTATTTACGTTGCTTTATTTTGGTTGTTTGTTTCAACTTTCAAATCAAAATTGATAATTACAGTGAGAAGTAGATGAAGAACTTGAGTATCTCTCCTACATTAAACACTAGTATCATATGATATTGGTAATTTAAGTTAAAAATAGTGTTAAAATTCGAAACTTCAAATCAAAGAAACGAAAACAAAATTAACAGAGCACCTCGTGATTCATCGCTGTATATTCCACTAAAATCATGTGCCCCGAGATCCAAGCTGACGACGCAATAGTACCATACTGTGATTAATTAATCAAACATAAATATTGGGATTTTGGACTTTTCAGCCTAATATCCCTACATCCATTTTAAATCCTCGGATTGTTAATGATTATAGAAAACAAAACAATATAACTCAGGTTATTAAAAAAAAAAAGCTCAAGTTATTATTTTGGAGGTACACATTTTACAATATTTAATACCGCAAGTTGCAAGATGTGCTTGCTTTGACCTTATAACATATAAACGAAAGACTTGCACTCACATACCTTATTGATCAACAAAGTTAATAAACCCTAAGAATTGCAAAATCTCTAGCTATATATACTCTACCCTATCATATTACATAATGTCTAGCCGAAAGTCACGGTCAAGACAAACCGGAGCTTCCATGATCACCGAAGAGCAAATCAACGATCTTGTCCTCCAGCTTCATCGTCTTCTTCCCGAACTTGGTAACAACAACAGACGCTCTGGAAAGGTACAATGATCTAATCAATTCTTCATTTCAATATATTTATTCTCATCTTTTTACTCTTTTTTTTCACCTTGAATTTCCTCTATCAACCTAAAGTGAATACTAATTCCTTACTTCTATGTAATGTTGAAATGAAACTGGAGCCTTTGGTTTGAGTTACTTAACAGAGAGTTGGAGTTAACTACATTAAACTCATTAATAGAATCAAGCAAGAAAAGCCAATGTACTAAACGATCTTTGAATTTACAAAAATGATTTAAACCACACATATTAAATATTAAATCTAACATATCGTGATAACTTCTAACTTGCTAGTTCAGTTTTCCATATATATTGACTCATTTCATTTGGGATACATTTTGTGAGCATTGATAGATTTTTGTTTTTAATTTCATAACTGATTGACGATATATGGAATATTCATGATTTTTTTTAGTTACCAGTTTCTTCTTCCTATGTCAATACCAATATAGTAACACATTTTCCTAACATTTCAGGTTTCAGCATCCAGAGTATTACAAGAGACATGCAGTTACATAACGAACTTGAACAAAGAAGTGGATGATCTTAGCGAAAGATTGTCCGAACTTTTGGAATCAACTGATTCAGCTCAAGCTGCACTCATCCGAAGTTTGCTTATGCAGTAAAGAGGTTCTTTAATTTCTTCCGAGTTTAATTCTCCCTTCTTATTTGTATCTAAAATGTTGATCATTTTAGCGTTTGTGTTCTCTGTTATGCATGTAATGCTTCTTTTCATTTATTTTAGGGTTTTGTTTTGTCAGTTGTTGAACGAAGCAAGTGGTTTGGGTTTACGTTCACATTATTAAAAGCAAACAAGTTTGCCAGAATTGTCCCCCTGACTCAAGGAATGACTATTGTATAACAATAAATTAACGCTCAGGTTTAGTGACTTAATGATGGATACACGGGCTGATGATGGGCATAATGAAGCTAGAAACGTAAGCGAATAAGTTTTGAAATATACTGAAATTTTGATAAATACAACTATACAGCCCATTTTCGTTTCTTTAAAAGTCACTAGTGAAGAAAATACTTAATATATTCGATGTGAAACGATAATCGTTATAAATTTTTTAGATATATAGAAGATAGATGTCTTGGCTAGTTTATATACACGGTACGTATGGGTACATGTAATATAATGGATACACATTATATTTATTATATTAACATTATATTAATCTATCTAATATTCTTGTACAAAAATAATTGTTAACCAGGTTGGAAGGTAAATACAACCTGAAAAAAAAGTTATTATACGCTTTAACCAAAAAAGAAAAATAAATAATTATGAGGAGATCTTTGTTTAGATTAAGTATGATCCCGTTCCCGTACCATGAAACATCGATTAAAAATGGAAAAATTGACAATCTTAGAATTTAGAAGCCCAAAATATAATGTCGTTGCATAAGTTTTCCATGGCTATGTCCTTTAATTAGCTGTCTAAGCAAGATCATTTTTAGTGAGTCAGTACGAGTAGAGTGGACCGCCAGAGCAGAGCCGTGCCCAGGTTTTTTTGGCCCATAGGCAAAATTAATTTTAATCTAATGCTTTTAAGGAAGTTTTTTTAACAGAAAAAATGAAGTTGGTAAAAAATAAAGGAAAGAAAATTAATGGGGTGAAAAAAACAAACATATGATAAATACAGAAAACAACTTACATTTCTTAAAGAAACAGTGGTGGATATTTTAGAGTAAGACCCAACAAAAGTATCTTTAGATGGAGTAACATCCTAAGTTTAATACAAAATTAAATATTCTTAACTAAAGAAATACAAAATTAAACGTGGCCCCTAGGCCAGTGTTTCAAATTTTATTAAGTGGGCACGGCCCTGCGCCAGAGCATGGCGAGGCGTATTTATGTAGAATGTACCTTCTTACCGGAGGTTGTGGCCTCAGATGCTAACGCAGTCCTTTGATTACCCAAAGATTTTCCTCGTATTATGGAAATTAAACGCCACATGTTGGCTTGCTGGACGGTGTCCGAGAAGATTTCCCAACTGCGTACAACAACTTCGTTGTCAAGACGGTTGATGTCGAATGCATGCGGAGCTTGAGAGGGATGCATCTGAAGCAAGTCCTTGTCCAAGGTGGGAATGCCACAAGGTTTCCCTATTGCACGTGGTCTTTTATACGCATATATGATTGATGGTAGATAAAGTGAAAAGATAATCGAGACATATAAATTCTACATCCAAACATACTCCAAAAATAATTTTTTACAGTCGTTGTTATTATAAATCTTAGCATGAAAAAGTATAAGTAACAATAAAGTATCTGAAACCTCTGTATTACTGTAAATTTAATGATTCAATCATAAGGAAATGTGATAAATTAGATCTCTCGATTCTTTTATTACTAGCGATTACAGGAAATCGTATTTTTAAAAAGGGACTATCCTTCTAACAGTTATAGAGACAAAAACAATTAGAAGGTCCACGAACTTTCGGGTCGTCAATACATTTTCCAACTCCATTATATTCTGAGTAGCAACTTATACGGCAATCGGATAGACTGCAATAATTTCCCTGATCAATGGTCATCAACTGATTCCTAAGGGTAGTTTCGTTATTCCAAGTTCGAATCAACACCTCTTTAATAAAACGACCGGCCTTGCAACTTTCCCAAAACAGCCAACGCCGCAGAGTCAAACCCCAACTATGGATCTCACATTCTCTCACACATGGTTATAATATTTTCTAGATACTGTTCATTAATGTATTTATTGTAAATAAGAACGTGTAGGATTAAAATAGTAACAAGTTCGTGTGATTAAATGTTAAATTAAGTGGGAATAAATGTTATCGTGTGAATGTGGATACTTCTCCTTCAAGGAAAATGAAAAAGACAAGAAACTCCATCAACTTAGAAAATAAATATATTTAAAAAATATATGGGAAAACAGACAACAAAACCGGAACAAGAAGACTTCTTTTAAAAAACGAAGAACACAGAATGAGAAAATCTTTCCACTAACTGTATTTTTTCTTCACTACTATATATGTAAGGTCTCTCTACAGTTGAAAACAGAGCATTAATCTCAAAGACTATACAAAAGCTTCAAACATTTATCATTTCATCTAAAACTGTTAAAAAGGTTTGATTCTTAATTATTCTTTTATGCTTTCTTTTTCGAGTCTGATTTTGTGTTCCTTTTGTTTCTCAGCAATGGATACTACGAAAACCGAAGAAACTCCGGTTAACCGTCTCCATTTTCCGGCGAGGAAGCTAAACCATAACCAAGAAGAAGCAGGAGATTCCATAATTTCATCGGAAACCGGAAGCAATGGAGAAGAGTTTTCCGATTGTGATCAACCGTCATCGATAGCTAACGATCTTGGCCTAGTGAAGTTGCTTAAAAACGACAAAGCATACGAGCTAATCCATCGTCACTGCAAATCTAACCTCACTCCTCAATTCGAGATCGTATCGATTCTCAAGAACGGGTTTCAGAGTCCATTGGCTAGAGCTAAGCTTAAAGCCTTCAAGATATACGTAGACTCTGTCGCGGAGAAAAACGGCGGCTGCTGCGGAGAAGGCGGTGGAAGCAAAGCTCCGGCTGAAGCGGTGAGAGTGAAATACGGTTGGTGCGGCGTGGAGAAGGAAGATTTAAAAACGATACTAACGTACGGATTTAGCCAGCAAAACTTGAAGAACAACAATGGTGGTGGCTTACTCTATCTCTCACCAGACAATGCTCCTCTTCAATGGTAAACAACAAGCACTCTAAAAGCATATATATTAATGAAAATATTTGTGTCATTGATGTTTGTTTTTGTTGTAGTATGATTGATTCTTCATCGGCATCTTGTGATGAAGATGGGATTAGATTCTTGCTGCTTTCAAGAATTATTTTGGGGAAATCAGAGATTGTTTCTGCTCAGGGTTTGATCAACAGATCGTATCCGAGTTCGCCGGAGTTTGATTCAGGTGTAGATAGTTTAATGTCTCCGAAGAAGTATATTATTTGGAGCACACATGTGAACACTCATGTTTTGCCTGAGTTTGTTGTATGCATCAAATCTCCATCTATCTTGAGAGAAAGTAAGTAAAGCACAACAAAAAATGTTTGTTTCCACTCTTCTTTGATACATTCAACAGTTGTTCAGTGGCTAATTTGGTATGTTTCTTTTGATGTAGAGAATCCGAAATCGCCTTGGATAACGTTTCCGGTATTGATCAAATTGATATCGAGGTTTCTTAATCTGTCTCAAATCCTTCTTGTTCAAAGACACTATAAAGAACATCAAGTAAGTCAAACACTTTCTTGGCTCTCTTGTTTCAACCTCATCATAACATTCTAACTGTTGGTTTAATTGCCACTCACAGGATATGAAGCTCTCGCGATCTGAGTTGATTCAACGACTGAGATGTATCACCGGAGATAGATTACTAGTTCACATCATCAAATCTTTCGGACAAAAGGTACATTGTTATATTGTAGTAGACACATGAACTCAAACCCTTTTTGGCGACAGAGTTACTACAATGTTGTTTTTTTCCGACTGTTTCAGGCACCGGAAGGATCAAGACCGATAAATGGACAGTCATGCCGTGGCTAGACCTTTATATGCACAGAGATAAATAAAAGTGGTTTATTAGCTTCAATGTTTATTACACTAGAATTTTGTTGTGTAACATATCCTTGTTTTATGTAAGTACGTTTCTGGACCAGTCTAATGACTTGTGTTCGTACAGTTTATAAATTTTAAAGACCAATCTACCATCTAACTTTGTCAGGTCAACGCTGCTGAGAATTTCCTAAACACAGAACCTCTCAGCCTTGTGAAACTGAACAATGAGATCATACTATGAAATGAGCATAGCAGTATAAATATTTGTTTCTTAATCACAAACTGCAGTCTAATGTACATCATAATTACGTAAACACCAATTTCAAATAAACAAGCCTGTGGTTTGTTTTCGTATAAAAATACAACAAAAGAGCCAGAGAAAACCTGGAGAGAGCCCCCAGTCCCGTAAGTTAGATTTCATTTTCACAATGAAGAACGTTGAGAAGCAGTGGAGCCGCTTCTAGTGAGCCTAACAAACTCAGGGTCAATCACAATTCCCCGAACTTGTTGTCTCCGTCCTCTCCGTCCCAACAAGTTCACTCCGCCGTGTCCTGGATCCGTCGCTGGAACATTCTCAGGAACTGGCATCTCCGTTGAATGTCCTGAGATGCACAATGATCCCGACTCGTCTTGTTGCCAGTACACTTCCACCATGATTCCACGTGGATTCTCTGTAGTCTCTGTTCCCGGTATCCCAATAAATCTTGCCCCAACCGGAATCTGTAGATTGAAATCGGATTGGTTCAGCTCGAGCATTAAAAATTCCTATTTAGAGATGTGGAAGGTATGAAATGCAAGTTACTTTACCTCGACGGATGAGCCTGATGTTAACTCGAGAGTGACCATTGTTCCATCAACCGCAGCGCTTTCAAGTTCAGCTTTTCTTGCTATGTTCAAGAAGACTTCTTCAAGAGTTGCGAGACCAAGCTGGATGTCTGAGATTCCAAATTCCGTTTCTCTGTCTTGCAGCTCAGCGAAAAAGCCCTGTTTTTCATTGTTAAGTAAACAGATAAGTTTCGAAATCACTTACGCTTAGTAAAGTAAACTCTAAATATGATCAAGTTGTATAAATGCTTACTGTCAAAAGATTCTCTTTGTCGTGTGGTATAACAAAAGTCATGAAGGCCTTGTTTTCTTCCACCGGTTTGACATTGAGATGCTGCAACAAAACATCACAGCTCAGAGGGCGTCGTAATATTGATACTTTAACCGGGCTGTTAAAACGGACTAACCTCTTTAAAGAATTTCTTCACTGGCTCGTGTGGATCAGCAGCACCAGTTTCGCCATTGTTGTCTTCGTTGTTTCTTTCAACGAAGCTGATGTTAGCAATGAAACCTGTGCCGAAGCGGGATTTCAACCTGATCGAGGTTCCAATACAGCGGAGCCTGCCCTTAGCCATTATCCCTATTCGATCACTTAAAATATCAGCCTCCTCCATCGAATGCGTCGTTAGTATAATGGCGCGACCTTTCTTGGTTTCCTGTATGATATCCCACACATGTCTCCTCGTGATCGGGTCCATGCCTGTAGTCTGCGATACATGTACGGCAATAAGGCATGTGAAAAATGAAGCAAACCTTAAAAATCAACAGAATAATATAAGATATGTTCAGATAGGGATATAGATAAAGTAACAAACCGGCTCGTCGAGGAAGACCAGCTTGGGATCACCAATGAGCGAAACTGCAACACTGAGTCGACGTTTCATTCCTCCACTGTAACTTCCTGCCCTGATCTTCCCTGCTTCTGTCAGTTTTACCTCTGCCAGTGACTTCTCAACCATCTGTATGACAGGAAAGAAGTAATTTAACCAACAACAGAGGCAATGTTAAAGACACCAACCAACTTATTTCTACCATTTGGGTGACATACCGAATTGATCGATGAAGGTGGCAACCCCTTGATTCTAGCAAAGAGGCGGAGGTGTTCTTCACCAGACAAAGCATCCCAAAGAATATCAAACTGTTGTTGAAAGATGTAAAAATGTCATTAATCATTTTAAGCACAACAAGTTGCTGTAACAAAGGCAAATGCCGGAAGCAGATAGCGAAAAGAAAATGGCCATACCTGAGGACAAACTCCTATCATTCTACGGATGTTGGACATACCAACAGAGCTTCTTATGGAATTTCCATAAATCAGTGCTGTTTATGCCAATGAGAGAGTTTGGTGAAATGTATAAGACACTAACTTCTACGGAAGAAATAAAAGCTTCTTACCATCACCACCAGTGACTGGATTTATGCCTGTCAAACAATTGATAGTAGTTGTTTTCCCTGCGCCATTGGGTCCAAGAAGACAGAATAGTTGATCTTTGGCAATATTCATCCACAACCCCTGATTATATTCCAAGAAATTAGTTTAAGGAATAAATGAAACGTATCATAGTAGACTCTACCATCTTAAACTGCAACTAGTCAACGTAAGAAGATCAATGATTCACTTTTGTTTTCGTAGTAAGAGATACCTTGAGAGCGTGATAAGGAGCCGTTTTCTTGCATTTGCAGCATCCAAACTTCGTTGTCCCAGGATAAGTCTTTGCAAGACCACGTATTTGAACTGCAATGTTCGGATCAACTACGCCCTCCATTGAATGTTGTTTGACTAAAGTTTCCTCTTCAAGGACATCTTCGTCATCTGGGGTCATATGATCCACAAGTGGGGCTGAACCAGTACAGCTACAAATTCCACCTTCTGCTCAGAGTAGAAACGGTTACTTAGTATAACATTCTCAACACTAGCCTAATACTACTAATGAATACAGAAACAAGACTTGGGAGAAAGTACCTTCCACTCGGTTACCACCTTTACCGGTCCAGTAACCAGGGTTCAGAAAGTAAAAGACAGATTTTCTTACACCAGACGCATTTGGAACAATGTTGTCAAAGTAGAGAGCCAACACAAACCACAAAAAGAATGTCCCGATAAGCCACAAGTAGATATCATTCTGCCAAAACCAAACAAGTAATGATCAGAGAAGAATTAGACACAGTTACTAGTTGGAACTTAATTGTGAGAGCTGACGTACAATAGTAATCACACAATCAGTTTCATCGTTGGGTCCGCATTCTCCTCTCTTACTCCAACTAATTCCAGGATCTTGAGGAGTTGACGTTGCAGAAGCAAGCAGCTGCAGACCCTGAGAAAAGGTATTAGGTGGGAACAGCGACCAAAGCGCCCTGATCGTGCGAGAAAAATTACTCGCATAAGGAAACCCACTTGACGTTGCAAGCTGCAGTTAGGTTCATGATTAGTAACAACTCATATAATTCGAAATTCAACTATTTGTTTTTCATGAGAACCTTACCTGAGTCACAAATCCAACAAGAAACACAAAGAAGCCAACAGTCGTTGCTGAAGCTGATTTGCTGATAAAAGCTGATAGCATGAATGCTAATCCAATCTAGCAGCACAAATGACAGATATATAGTTTGATTGATGTGCCGGAAGAAGGAAAAATACAATATCTGAGAAGAAAGCAGAAGACATAAATCCTTAGGAAGTCGTTTTTACCATATTAAACTGGAAAAGCATGAAGAGTAGGAAGACAACAGGGAAACTGTTCTTCAAGAAAAAGTCGAACTGGAACATCATCCCAAAGAGAACAGTCAAGAGCGCAGAGAGAGCAGTAAGCATTCCTTCCCATGTAAGCCATGACAACCAATAAGCAGTGTCGAAAACACCCATCATCGTCATTGCCTGTTGCAGAACAAGCGTAAAATACACAAGCAACGTACTGTACAGACATTTTTAACAGCCTACATATAAAAACAATACCATACCTGACGAAGTTTGAGCTCTTTCTCAGTGATCAAAGAACTGATCTGAAGAACAAAGCCAAACATGGCGACAGCAAGGAAGAAAGTCGGTCCAATTGTGTCCAATGCAACAATAGCTTCGATAGTTGGGTGTGGAAACTCCTTAAATCCCACAACCCAGTTAAATTTTGGATCTGTAAAACAAATTCACATATCAGAACAAACACTTTCTTGCCAGAAGCAGCAAGATACAGAACACACATATGCATACCTCCTATCAAGGACCTTGCGATCTCACGCTCAGCAGCAATCTGAAGAGGTATCTGGAACTTAAAGGTGGGATCTTCAAACCTTCCCCTGTTAAGCTCAGGAGTTGAATTCGTTTGAATACCATAGCTAATCACTGTAGCGTTTCTCTCCACAAAGTGCAAGGCTCCTGGAGTTTGCAATGGATTCGCCATTAGCCACTCATCTACCTTGTCAGGTCCCGTGAATGATTGTACCTTCACACACCACACATCACACAAACGCTTCTTTCAATTCGCAGTCAATTTTTTTCAATTTGCAGTCTTTAGTATCCAACACGCAAATCTTAATCAAATCTTAATCATCGCTAAAGGTTCCTACTTTGATTTCTCACGAGGAATGCTTAATTACGCAATTGACTCAACAAAACCCAGAAAACACTTCAATCAAAACACAATACCTTATCACTAGGAATCGGTCTTCCGGGATTATTCGCCATAATCGAATCAACAATGTCTCTCGCCCGGCGGCTACTGTTTCCGCTCCAGACGAAGTCGTAACACGGAATGTTGACGAAGAATTTATCCTCGCAGGGCGGAATCGGCGGCGAGATCAGCGCCGCGGGATCGGTGACAGTCCGGAGCGCCGTGGAGGAGGAGAAGCTCTTCTCCATGGCCTCCTGGATGCAGAAGATGAGGAGGATGAAGAAGAAGGAAGCGAAGAGCTGGAGGAACGTGGCTCTCTTGCTCCGCCATGAGAGGAGAAGGTTTTTCCAGAAAAGCGCCGTGTACTGCTGCCAGAGAAGAGGCAAACCTCTCTGCAACGTCATGCCGCCGTTTTTCTGGGTCCCTCTTTTTGGTTCCTCTTTTCGAATTTTCTACTGTGATCCGATTTTAATTGGACGACGGTTTCGTAACAACGATTTAAGGTAGAAGAAGTGTTTTATATGTTTATGTATGCCCGTGGAATTTGAGGAAATTACGAATCTGACATCTGAGATTTGCCTGCGAAATTACGTCGCAATTGATAACTTCAAGACAAAACCGCGTTAAATTGCGAATATTTTATATATCAGAGAACAAAAAGAATAATGTATGATCAACTTGAAAACTTTAAATAATTTTTGTTGTGATATCATATTAGTATTTGCAAATCAATTTTCGTGAATGGAGCCACCACGTTAACTCTCAGCCGCGGAATTACCGAGATGCCCTTAATGAAAATCTTTCAATTAAATCTTCGAATTTTTCCTTTTTTATTAAAAACGAATTTGATTATTGACTTTTAATATTTTTAGATAAATATGTTAACTACCATATCCCCGCCTTATTTTTGGAAGATATTATAAATTTTAGGAAGATAAATAATAAGTAAACCCTAAGATTCTTAACTGACCTGTATTATATAAATAGATACGATCTTGGAAAAACAACACAATTTTCATTACGATTTGCAATTTGTCTTTCAATACGTAATTTTAGTTCTTAGATCTCATATTTCTTCTTCACATGTACCTTAATTGTTTTAGTTCGATCTTAGTTCTAATAAAACTATTTATGAACTGATTATTTGTTATTTTCTGTCAATATCATCTATTGATCCGCTTCTAACTACTTCCTCTCTCACTTTTGTAACAGAAAATTCATTATTTGTAAGCTGATGGAATAGAAGTTCATATATGGTCCCAAGCCAGAAGTATTCTTCCCCAAAAATAGAGGGTATGAACATCTTTTCTTTTATATATCAACTTAATATTCATGAAACCCTAATTCTAATGATGAGAGTATAACGTTTTCTGTTTTTTTTTTTTTTAATTTTAGTTTCTTCAATGAAGCTGGAGGAATGGAATTGGCGGAGCCTGGAAAGAAGAATGATTTCGGGAGCATATTAGCAGGTACAAAGATTTGGTTGAATCTTGAGATCATGAGAGGCCGTACCACATGATGTGCATGTGGCTTTGGATTGATTGTCTTTGCAGATCCTTATGTTGTTGTAGAGAGAATGATCATGAAGAAACAAATCATTGATGGCCGATCGGTTAATATTCTAAAACTCATCAAAAATCCTTCATCAATCTCTGTAACATATGATGTAACCTTTTGTTTTTTTTTCTTACTTGCGCAGTAAGCTTTCTTTAGTAGGACAAGACGATTTTTGAGTTCCTGTTTCGTCTACTAAAGGAGAGAGAACCTTATTCTGAATTCTTCTTACTTTTGGAGAGTCGAGTCAATTAAAGAAAAGAGAAACACTACGAAGAGGTAATGATTCAATGAGAAGATATTTCCTGATGCTAACATGTGGCCAAATTACGATGAAATTGAGGATGAAGAAGATGACAAAGAAGAAATACAATATTTATTCACAGTCTCCTCGACTCTCTTCTTTTATTTTATCAGTTTCATCTTTCTTCATGTAAGAAGAAATACAAGAAGAAAGATGAAACTAATAAAATAAGATGTTGCAAAAATGAAAAGGATTGATAACACAAAATGATAAAGAGTACAAAATGAAATAAGAAGAAAAGACTGAATAAAAACAAGGAAAAGATGAAAGTTGGAAGACAAAGACGGAAAAAACAAAAGAAACAGAACAAAAGAAGAAAATATTTGAAGAATATGTGAACAATAAAGAAGTTGAAAAAAAATCAAAAGATAAAAAAAACGAAGAATAAGAACACAAAGACAGTTGAAAAACAAATTGTAAATAAAAGGAAGAAAACTGATAAAAAGCAGGAAATAATAAGATGACGATGAAGAGAAAATTAAAAGAGAATAGAAAGTTTGATAAGAATAAGAAAAAAAATAGTAGAAAATGAAGAAAAAATATGAAGTAAAAGACAAATTAAAATAAAAAGATAAAATAGGGTTGAGGTTTATGATGTACGGTTTATACTGATGGGCGTAAAATTTAGTTGTTGATGCATTTAAAAAAATTTGAATACACTAAATTACCGATATAAAAAAACTTATGTTAAAAATAAAATAAAAGTAAATATAGAACCAATTTCTAAAATGTGGGTTCGGGTGTACAGATTGGCGGGGACCGGGGGCGGAGGGTGTTACACTATGGTGTTTGGGTTGTTTAGGGGGTGGTGTTACACTGTAGGGTTTGGGTTTAGAATGTAGGATTTATATTGATGGGTGTAGAGTTTAGTTTTTGGTGCATTCTAACATTGAACCCTTAAATGTAAACCCTAAACCCCAAAATCTAAATCCTAATATAGGATAAGTGAACCCAAACATATATATTAAAATTGGGGAAAAGTGTATTTTTGAAAATTTCCACACTATAGTTATAGTTTTGAAAATTTGCATCTCAAAAGGTGTATTTCGTAAAATTTCTCTTTTAAAAACTTAAATTATTATAGAAGAATTTCATTATAGAAAATCATTTATTATAAAAAATTATACTATTTATCTTATTAAAACTTTTAATTAATTAATGTATTTTAAAAATATTGTACCCGCACAAAGTGCGGGACAACCACCTTGTTGTTTTAATTTTTCCTGTGATTATACCACTCTATTTCTTGATTTTCTTCTACCAAGAAAAAGTATTACTTGTAGGCTTTGACTACCAGCAATTGTTGTTACTTTACATAAATTAAGTTATTGTATGTAGTTTGTAACTTCGTAGACATAAGGCATAAGCATTAATCGTTGATATTTCAACACTTTTCATTTTTTTTTGGCTTCGTAGATTTCGGCGACACCTAGAAAAATATCCAAGTTATTTAGTGACACTGATTTAATAATAATCAATGGAATAGTCCAACAAGCCATGTCCAAACTTGAATAGTTGAATAATTAGCTTGAAGGTCAAAGAATGTGTCGATCTATTTTTGTCATAACAGAGAAAATTATTCAAATGTGTGTATACAAATTGTGGTTAAGCTTTCTTCCATGTCAGCATCGTGACAAAAAAACAAAGTCTTCATATTTTTTCGTCGACGAAACAAAACTTGCATCATTTTTTTCTTTATAACTTATGAACTGAATAACTGATGGAGATAAATAATTTAATTATTTCTGTTTTTCTGTTAACGTGTGAATCGCTATGAAACATATTGATATGGAGTAATGGAGACGTAATCAATGAATTAAATGTTCACACGTTCATCTACATGTGCTCGAAATAAACACTGTAAGTGTATGGATTTGGCCATAATATTTAGTCCGGTGTATTAATTGATGCAGCAATGATTTACTTTTGGAAATATACCGAACACATCATACAGTACATTAATATATTGGAGAGGAAAATTTGAAGATGTACTCAACAAAGCTTTTTTATATTGGAGATTACCTACCTCCTGTGATTATCTTTTCTACATGTTAGTAACGACTGAATCTTATTGACTGTGGAATTTTTCAGAATTTAATTTGTGGTTTTTGGTTGAATTTGGCTGAATAACAAGATATACGATATAACATTGACGAATTAAAACATTTGTAAAAAACCAAAGCATCATCGGACATGTCATAGGATATTTTTTAATTTCATATAAGATATAGTATCTTCTGTATTTAATATTTATTCAAAGTACTATTTGAGTCTTTGACAAGTTCATAGGAAACTAAAATTATACTTACAAAAAAGTACAACAAAAAAATCAGCGCCTGCCCGTCTACTTAAAAACGGAAATTCCAACTACATCATATATTCTTTAATAATTTTCGTCGGACCATGCATTACTTATTGTCCAAGTAATCCCACGTAGTAGGTAGAGTTTTTGAAAAGCGAGTGTATCAATTCGATGGTGCGCACACGTAATAACTACAATTGTATAATAGTCAAAAGTCCAAAATTGATCGATCCTTGTTATTAAAACAAAAAAGAGAGCCCAAAACTGATTTTAATTCGTATGCCACAGGTTGGCGAATCGACATGGTCGTGGGGATCACTCGTTCGTATCTCCAGTCTCCTTGTAAATCTATATTGAACTCTGAAGTTCCATATTCCAAATGTTCATTTCTTTTTCGCCATACGAGGAGATATATAATTTATTTGATCTATATCTTTATCTATTTTGATAAAATTTCATCGCATTTAACTATATATTTGTAGATGAAACTGAAATGTTACAATTGTTTCTACAAACCGAAATATTACTATTTTATCTCTACATATCAAATGTTACAATGGAGGCTTAAGGGTATAAAGGTCAAATTAAATCCACACAATCGCTTCTCCCACTATCACTCCGAGTAAATGACCCAAAGAAAAATATAACCTTGGGAAGCAACCAAAGCTTCATCGTCAATGGCGGATTCTGGTCCAGCAAGCTTCCTGACGCGGGCCAATGCCATACTAAGAAAAAACTTAACCTATCAGGTTTTCGGCGTTTTCGTTTCCCTTTCCTCAATCCAATCTGTACATAAAACATGCATTGCGTCTATGAGTTTTTGTTGCACAATAATGAGTAGATACATTGTGGTCTGTGAATTCGTGAGCTCGATGATCAAAAGACTTGCACTAACTTTCCGATTTTTTTTTTTTTTTTTTTTTTTTGCCAACAATGTAGTTTTCAAAATCATTAAAGTCTGGAAATTTATTTTGTGGGTTTTGCAGAAACGGAACATATGGAGCAATGTTAGGCTAATCATGATCCCTTTCTACCTCTGCTTAGTCCTCGTGTGTATCCAAGCACTGTTCGATTCACAGGTTAATGACTCACTGGACAATCAATGTGGTTGTAAATGCATTGACAAAACTGGACAAGGCAAATGCGAAATGATATGTGGTGTAGAGTATTCCACTCGAGATCAAGGAGTCTACTGTGCCATCCCAAATCCACAACCATGGCCTCCTTTGTTGCTCATTCCTCGCCCACAGGCTCGTGCTTTTGATGCCAATCTCACTGATGGCTCGTGCAAACAAAGAGAGTCATGCCCTGTAACTATACTTTTCACTGGGAACAATCAATCCGTTGGAGAAAGTATGTATCTTTGTGACTGTGTCTCCCCTTTATTTCTTCAGCCATATTGTTTTCACTGGTACAAATGTTCATGTTCTCTCCAGCTTTATCTGGAAATCTTCTCAGGAGTTCTTTCACATTTAACTCCTCTGACCTCTTGTTTACTTTAGCGAATTATGCTTTGGTAATTTCTCTGGTCTCTGTTGAAACTGCTTGAATCTCAATGTCTTAGCTAAGTTTGAGCTGTTTGGGTTTCAGGCTACAACATATAAGGGAAGTGCCACCAATTATCTTGATGCAGGGATTGTCTCTGATCTTAGCATATACAACATCCAACCTCGCTGTACTCCAAACTCTAGTTTTTCATTCTCTATCGGACAATCACCTCTCAATTTTACCAAAGGTATGAACTTTCCCATCCCTAAGGCTCTTACAAGTTACAACAATACATATCTGCTCACATTTCCTTTGTATTCATATTCCCAGTTTATTAAGCAGAATGTCTCTTGCTTCCATATATTGTCCTTGCTCAAAGTTATCATCTGAAGAAGTACTCTTGTAGTGTGAGTAACTTTATTATTGTTAACAGAGATGAGATGCGTTCAAGGATTGAATCTTTGGAGAAATAACTCGAGAGAGATCAATCATGAGATTTTCAGAGGTTATGAGAAAGGAAATTCTGATGGAATGGTAAATGAGATCGCTGCAGGTTGTTTGACTTTTCTCTCATTTATCTTTAATGCTTCCTTAGTATGCACACACATGAGGTTTCTGAATGATTCTTTTGTTTTGTTTTTTTGGGTTGGTGTTGCCTTAGCATACGATCTCTTGGACACAGATAGGACTCACTTCAATGTTAATATCTGGTATAACGCAACGTACAAGGGTGATTCAGGTAATAGGCGTATAAAGTTGGTCCGAGTTCCTCGCACTGTCAACTTGGTAAAGAAACTAAGTGACTTACTTGCGTTGCAAGATTCTCTATTCATTTTCTTGATTGAAGAGATTTCTCAGACTCTGCAAATCTGCAGGTCTCAAATGCTTATCTTCAGTATATGCAAGGCCCTGGGACGAAGATATTGTTTGAGTTTGTCAAAGAAATGCCTAAACAAGAAACTAAACTTCGTTTAGACATCGCTTCTCTAATTGGTCCACTCTTCTTCACATGGGTTATTCTTCTTTTGCTACCTGTAAGGACTGCTTTAGCACTCTTACAATATTCATCCCACTATATCATTATATGTAATCTTGGAATCAGTCTGTAGAAAGCCTATCAATCATAAGACAATAGGATCATGTCATCAGGAATTTTGTATGCAGGTGATCTTAACTTCGCTGGTGTTTGAGAAGCAGCAACGTCTAAGGATTATAATGAAAATGCATGGGCTAGGAGATGGTCCATATTGGATGATCTCCTATGCCTATTTTCTCGCCATATCCACTTTATACATTATATGCTTGATGATATTTGGATCAGCAATAGGTACTTAATCAAATTATAGAACATGTTTTTTTTTTTATGGGATTATTATTATAGCAGCTATAGTTATTTTGCAGGACTTAAGTTCTTCAGGCTTAATGACTACAGCTTACAGTTCGTGTTTTATTTTCTCTACATAAATCTGCAAATCTCCATTTCCTTTCTAGTTTCCTCAGCATTTTCAAAGGCTGAGACAGCATCAGGTACTAAATTTATACTTGTTTTAAAAGTTTGCTGAGGAACATGTTGGTGGGTGCTAATAGGAACACTTTTCTGTTTTATGGCTAAATTGTAGTTGTTGCTTACATATACGTATTTGGATCTGGACTATTAGGCTTGTTTCTCTTCAAGTTTCTGATCGAAGATCCATCATATCCCAGTAGGTTATCAAGACGATTCAACTTGAATAACACATAACTGACCACATTGCTCACTAGTATATACTCTCACATTTTACAGGAGGCTGGATTTTTGTCTTCGAGCTGTATCCCGGATTCTCTTTAATACGTGGGTTGTACGAGCTTTCGCAGTATGCTTTTGAGGGGAACTTGAACGGGAAAGATGGCATGAAGTGGAAAGATTTCAGTGATAGTTCAATGGATGAAGTTTTCTCCATCATAATCTTTGAGTGGTTTGTCTCACTCATTGCAGCATACTACATTGATAAGCTATCTTCATCTGGAAAGGACCCTTTGTTTTTCTTGAAATACCCTTTCAAGAAATCTCTTTCTCCACAAAGACAGGTATCTGCAGTTTCCGTAGAAATGGAGAAACTAGATGTCACTGAGGAGGTATTGCAGAAGAACTCCCAACATCATTCCATGTTCTTTTGGTTCCTTAAGTTGTTCTGATAAACCTTTTGTTCCAAGTAGAGTGAAAAAGTTGAGAAACTGATGCTTGAGCAGAGCACAAGCCATTCGATTGTATGTCACAACTTGAAGAAGGTGTATCCAGGTAGGGATGGAAACCGGCAAAAAATGGCAGTTTGTGGGTTATCTATCGCCGTTCCTTCAGGAGAATGCTTTGGCATGTTAGGGCCCAATGGTGCTGGCAAGACCTCTTTCATTAACACGGTCAGTACCAAAATTAAATGAACATAAAAAATTTGAGCTTAGCTTCTTTCTGAGAAACTCTTTTTATATACTTTTTGTCAGATGATTGGGCTTGTGAAACCAACATCAGGGTCAGCGTTTGTTCAAGGTTTGGACATATGCAAGAATATGAACAGAGTATACAGCAGCATGGGTGTTTGTCCACAGCACGAGTAACTAAATTCTTAGAAACATTTTAATTCTGTTCAACTATACAGAAAGGATCATCTCTATCTAGTTTTTTTTATCAGTCTCTCTTATTGTCTGTTGTAAGCTTGCTCTGGGAAACACTGACAGGAAGGGAACATCTTCTCTTTTACGGAAGACTTAAGAATCTTAAAGGCTCTGATCTCAACCAAGTATGTTCTCAATCTTGCTGTAACTCCGGAATTATCAAACCGGTAGATAACCGTTTCATGAATATTAGGCTGTAGAAGAGTCTCTTAAGAGTGTAAACCTATTTCACGGAGGAGTTGCTGATAAACCTACAGGAAAATACAGCGGAGGTATGAAAAGGCGGTTAAGCGTAGCCATTGCACTTATTGGGAGTCCTAAGGTATGCATTTGGTTTACTCATTTTGATTTGTTAACGAGTTATAGAGGTTGAAGTATTTCAAGCTTTAACAAATCCATTTTTTATTTTGTTATGCTTTTAAAAGGTGGTTTATATGGATGAGCCGAGCACTGGACTTGATCCAGCTTCAAGAATGAACTTATGGACGGTCATCAAACGTGCTAAAAAACACTCTGCGATAATCCTCACTACTCACTCAATGGAAGAGGCAGAGTTTCTCTGTGATCGGTTGGGAATTTTTGTAGATGGAAGGCTACAATGCATAGGGAACCCAAAAGAGCTAAAGAAACAGTATGGTGGATTTTATGTGTTAACGATGACAACATCATCAGAACATGAGCAAGATGTGGAGATGTTGGTGCAAGATGTTTTTCCAAACGCCAAGAAGATATATCACATCGCAGGGACACAGAAGTTTGAGATCCCAAAGGAGGAAGTTCGGATCTCAGAAGTGTTTCAGGCGGTGGAGAATGTGAAGAGCAATTTCGAGGTGTTTGCTTGGGGACTAGCGGACACAACACTTGAAGACGTATTCATTAAGGTTGCTAAAACTGCTCAGGCCTTTAATGTCTTCTCTTGAAATTACATAAGATTGTCATATTTTTATCTGTCCTAACGTAATATTTTGCTCTTGTGTGCTAATTTGGTCATCTGATGAGGTTTGGAAATGCTCATGTACATAATTGGAAATAGGCTGTGAGTTTGTGAATTTCTTTGAGAGTTTTAAAATTTGTGTGTTTGTGGATGATTTATGTAAAATAAAAATTCATGTACACTGTGGATACACATTTTGGCTGACATGAAACGGTAACGTTGATACACGAGACTTTGTTTTGTGTGTGCAATTTATATAAACATCATTTAAAGGTAGAAGAAACAGAGTGATTTTTGCCTAACACAAATAACTGTAGTTCTTCGCTCGTTGTCATTAAATGCAACAATTAATAGCCTAAACTACTTTAAAAACTCGCAAGTGGGAAATAAAAGCGTGTCATATCATATGGATCTTCATTTTAAGTTTCCAGCTTTAAAAAAAAAAAAAAATCAAGGACTAAGAAGCTTCATCAATGGCAAATCCTGTTCCGGCCAGTTTCTTGACGCGGGCCAATGCCTTATTCAGGAAAAACTTAACCTATCAGGTTTGTCCAAACAATACATGTCTTTCTATATACACAACACTAAATCCATTGATGTTAATTGCAAGAATGTGATTATATCTTGAGACTAGCTTAATCCATTTGGTGTAGAAACGGAACATATGGAGCAATGTTCGGCTCATTGTGATCCCTTTGTACCTCTGTGTGCTTCTAGTTTTCATTCAAGCTCTGTTCGATACACAAGTTAATAACTCTGCTGATAACCAATGTGGTTGTCAATGCCTTGATAGTAAATGCCAAAACAAGACTTGCGGGTTACAACATTCATCACCAAGCCAAGCAATCTTTTGTGCCTTCCCAAATCCTCCAGCATTGCCTCCGTTGTTACAGATTCCACTTACAAAAACATCTTCTGAATCTTGCAGACGAACAGGATCTTGTCCTCTAGTAACTATACTTGTTACTGGGAATAACCCTAATCTTGGAACAAGTATGATAAGTCTTCCCTCTTTTAAATTGTTCCTCTTCTTCTCAGCTCATAAATTATATATAATATATTGTTTTCTTCAGCTTTATCTATGAATCTGCTCTCTACTACTTCTTTCCCGGTGAACTCCACTGGCGACCTTCTCTTGCGTAGTCTAGCCAATAATGTCTTGGCAAGTTCCTGATGATTTATGCTCGGATTCTTGTTTTTTCCCCCCTTTAACATGAAGTCTTTATCTCTCAAGATTTATAAAAACATTTCAAAATATATTCAGGGTACAACATCAGAGGCAGATTTTACCAATTATAACGATCCAGGGATTCACTCAAACCTTCCCCTCTACAACATCCAAACTCGGTGCACTCAAGAAGCTACATTCTCATTCTCAATCGGACAGTTTCAGAAAGGTATCAAGTTTGATGCGTATATACAGTGAACATTAGATATGTATCTTTTAAGCGGAATATTGGTCTATGTCAAAGCAGAAGTGAGATGTATTCAGGGATTGAGTCTCTGGCGAAATGACTCCAGAGAAGTCAACGATGCGATCTTCAAGGGAAACCATGAGGAGGTGGTTGCAGGTTAATATTTCACATTTATATCATTTGTCTCTCGGTGTTATTATATACGTAAATTCTTGACTCTTTCTTCTAATTTTTTTTTAATTCTTGCTTTTAATTAATTAGCATACGATCTCTTGGACACCGACAGAAACAACTTCAATGTGACAATCTTGTACAACTCTACATACAAGAAAATGTTACTAGACAGACGTCTAAAATTTGTCCGAGTTCCTCGCTTGGTCAATTTGGTAAGAGAATCAAGACGTACTCATCATTTCATTTTTCATCATGCTTTATTTTTTGTTAAAAAGTTCTATTTCATCATGGTTTATATATCCATTGTACATATTTTAAATTTTTTTAAATGATTATGAACGTTTTTTAATTCCCATGCTAATTTTCTAAATAACATGTTATTAAAAAAAAAATAGCATTCTAGAATTTTTCGACACATTTCATTGGAATCTATTGATCAGTCTTCTTTTACACTACAAAACAAATTGCAGGTGTCGAATGCATATCTCGAGTATCTGAAAGGCAAAGGGACAAAGATGCTATTCGAGTTTGTCAAAGAAATGCCTAAACTAGAAACTAGGCTTCGTATGGACATTGCATCTTTCATTGGCCCCATTTTCTTCACATGGGTTATTCTTCTTCTGTTCCCTGTAAGTTCTTTTTGAGATCATACGATATGATAATCTATAAATCTTGAGAGCAGTTTTCATGAGCCTATATATCATGGGGTTCATAACTATATGCAGGTGATGTTGACCTCATTGGTGTATGAGAAGCAGAAGCGTCTAAGGATTATAATGAAAATGCACGGACTTGGAGATGGTCCATATTGGATGATTTCCTACGCCTATTTTCTCGCCATATCGGCACTATACATTATAAGTTTGATGATTTTTGGGTCAGCAATAGGTACTTGTTCATATTTTATTTTTATATATAGAAGAAGTGTAGAACAAGTTATCAGAGCTATATATGCAGGACTCAAGTTCTTCCGGTTTAATGACTACAGCATCCAGTTCGTTTTCTATTTTATCTACATTAATCTGCAAATCTCCATTGCCTTTCTTGTTTCCTCAGCATTTTCAAAAGTTGAGACATCAACAGGTACTAAAGTCATTTTTATTTTCTTTATAAGTTTGCTTAGGAACAAACATATTGGTGGTAAAAGGTAAACATTCTCTGTTTTTATTGTCAAATTATAGTTGCTGCTTACATATATGTGTTTGGAACTGGGTTATTGGGCACGTTTCTCTTCCAGTTTCTGATCGAAGATCCATCATTTCCCAGTAAGTTATCAAGATCAACTTGAACACCACATAACTGGCCAGTGACCACATTGCCAATTAATGTATAATCTTTACTTTTTTCAAGGAAGCTGGATTTTGGTCATGGAGTTGTATCCTGGCTTCTCTTTATACCGCGGGTTGTATGAGTTCTCCAACTATGCCCTTAAGGGAAACTTGAATAGGAAGAATGGAATGAAGTGGGAAGACTTCAATGGTAGTGGAATGGATGAAGTTTTCTCCATCATCATCGTTGAGTGGTTTCTTGCACTCATTGCAGCATACTATATGGACCGAGTTTCTTTATCCGCGAAAGACCCTCTTTCATTCTTTAAAAACCCTTCCAAGAAATCTCCTTCTGCACAAATTTGTATCTTGCAAAAACAGGGCTCTGAAGTTGCTGTAGAAATGGAGAGAGTAGATGTCGCTCAGGAGGTATGACAAGAAAATGATTCCAAAAATATTATAAGATATTCTTTTGCATTTTTTTCTAGCTGTTTTGATGAAAAGATTTTGTTACAATCAGAGTGAAAAAGTTGAGCAAATGATGCTTGAGCCTAGCACTAGATATGCAATTGTATGCGACAACCTAAAGATGGTGTATCCAAGCAGGGATGGAAACCCACCAAAAGTGGCAGTTCATGGTTTATCTCTCGCTGTACCTTCAGGAGAATGCTTCGGCATGTTAGGACCTAATGGTGCCGGAAAGACTTCCTTCATCAACACGGTAAGTATCCAAATGAACAGAAAATCTTTTGACCTTAGCTTCTGATATGAACAACTATATATATCTGTTTTTTTCTGGTCAGATGATTGGGCTTGTGAAACCAACATCAGGGTCAGCATTTGTTCAAGGTTTAGATATATGCAGTGATATGGACAGAGTATACACTAGCATGGGCGTATGCCCACAGCACGAGTAAATATTCAAATTCTTGATAACATATTATTTTGAAAAAAAAAAACATATTCTGTAGTTGTTCATCAGTGTTTTATTCTCTGTTGTGTACCAGCTTGCTCTGGGAGACATTGACAGGAAGGGAACATTTACTGTTTTACGGAAGACTTAAGAATCTCAAAGGTTCTGATCTAAACAAAGTATGGTATCTAATCTTACTTTTCTTTTGTATCACTCAAAAAAGAATCAATTCATGGATGATGATCAACTTCATGCTTCTTAGGCTGTAGAAGAGTCTCTGAAGAGTGTAAACTTATTTCGAGAAGGAGTTGCCGATAAACCTTCTGGAAAATATAGCGGAGGTATGAAAAGACGGCTAAGTGTAGCCATTTCACTTATTGGTAGTCCTAAGGTATGCATTTGGCTTAACCACCTAAAGAAGTTGAAGTGTTTCAAGTTTTACAAATCAATGTTTTGTTTTTTTCATTTGGTTATCTTTTGAAAAAAGGTGGTTTATATGGATGAGCCGAGCACAGGACTTGATCCATCTTCAAGAATGAACCTATGGACAGTCATCAAACGTGCTAAAAAACACTCTGCGATAATCCTCACTACTCACTCAATGGAAGAAGCAGAGTTTCTCTGTGACCAATTGGGGATTTTTGTAGATGGAAAATTACAATGCATAGGGAATCCAAAAGAGCTAAAGGGAAGGTATGGTGGATTCTATGTGTTAACGATGACAACATCATCACAACATGAGAAAGATGTGGAGAGGTTGGTTCAAGATGCATCTCCAAACGCTAAGAAGATATATCACATCGCAGGGACACAGAAATTTGAGATTCCAAAAGAAGAATTTCGAATCTCAGAGGTGTTTCAGGTGGTGGAGAATGCGAAGAGCAATTTCGAGGTGTTTGCTTGGGGACTTGCGGACACAACACTTGAAGATGTATTCATTAAGGTTGCCAAAACTACTCAAGCATTTAATGTCTTCTCTTGAATCTTCTAATATTGAATCCTTTTTTTGTTCGCTGTAATTTGCTCTTTATTGTTAACTTAGTCATGTAGAGAGATATGTAGATGCTCATGTGTCTTCAAAACACAAAAAATGCAAAGCATCAACAAAGTTCCCCAAAAGATTGTTTTTTTTTTTTTTTTTTTTTTTTTTTTTTTTTTTTTTTTAATTCTTTCAAGAAATCTCCTTCATAAATGCATAGCTTGCAAAAGCAGGCCTCAGCAGTTTTCGTTGAAATTAAGAAAGTAGATATCGCTCATGAGGTACAGAAATTATTCATAATATATTAAATACACGTTCTCTACATTTATTATGCTGTTTTGATAAAAGAAATATATTCCAGTCAGAGAGAAAAACAGTTGGATTGGGATTTTTGAAACAAATTAAGACGTTTCCCCCATAAATATATCGTATATGATAATTAACATAATTAATGATTCTATGTAAAAAAAGTATCCTCCATGAATAATATATTAACCTAGTCCCATCGTGGGATCACAGCTTGGCAACTTCTTCTTCGTTCGTTAAAATCAATAGCGTTCCATATTGATATAAATTATAAATAAAACAAAACGAAACAGAAGAACAAGGAATGACAATCACCAAAGAAGCTTCATCAACAGCAAATCCTTCCCCTGCCAGTTTCTTAACACAAGCCAATGCCTTGTTCATAAAAAACCTTACTTATCAGGTTTGGCTTTCTCCAAATAATACAATATGTTGATACTTGATATGTAAACAGAATGATCTTATTGAGTTTATATAAATATGAGTAATGTAGAAACGGAACATATGGAGCAGTGTTCGGCTCATCGCGATCCCCTTATACCTCTGCTTGGTTCTAGCTACCATTCAAGCTCTGTTCGATATACATGTTAATAACTCTGCTGAGAATCGATGTGGTTGTCAATGCATGGACACAACTAAAGATGGCAAATGTGAAAGAGAGAGTTGCGGTTTAGAATATTCATCTCAAAATCAAGCAATCTTTTGTGCATTCCCAAACCCTCCACCATTGCTTCCGTTGTTACATATTCCGCCTTCTGTTACTAGTAGTTCCATTGACTCGTGCACACGAACCGGATCTTGTCATGTAACCATACTTTTTACTGGGAATAACCCTTCTCAGCTTGGAGCAAGTACGTCTGCCTCTTAATTTTTTTGTTCCATCTTTAAATTTAAATTACTATTTAGACAAATAACATGATATCATATCATGAGCTTCTTTTTTTTTTTTTTAACCATGAGCGTGTTCTAACGTAAGATTACATGATATTTGCTAAAACCACGCATAAAATCCATGTTATATGTGATAAACGAACTAACTTATTTACGATTTGGCCATCCGTCATTTTTGCAACGAAAATGGCTATCTAATGCATATATGATATACCCTTTAGTTTATCGTTCCCATTGTTTCCATTGAAACTGACCTTCTTCATGCACATTCTAGCTTTATCTGAGAATCTGCTCAGTACTTCTTTCACGGCGAACTCCTCTGACCTTTTCTTGCCTGATCTCGCCTATAATGTCTTGGCAAGTTCTTCCCTGCTAGGGTTCTAGTTTTTCCCATCATCAGCTCTCTTATATTATCAATTTATCATGCATATATATAAAAGAGACTTTTCATGAATATCTTCAGGGGACAACATCAGAAGGAGTCTTCACCAGTTATCTTGATCCAGGGATTCACTCAGATCTTCCCATTTTCAGCATCCAACCTCGCTGCACTACCCCCACTACATTTACATTTTCATTCCGACAATCACCTCTCGAGTTTCACAAAGGTGATCTTATATGTAAATATGTAATCCTTATTTTATGATATTCACAGTTACAATAATGCAATAATTAAGTCTTCTAACTATTTTTATCAAAAAAAAAGGTCTTTTAACTACATTAGTTTATTTGTTGTCTGTTGATTTAAACCTGACAGATTTTAGTATTAGCTATATTGATATAATTTATTTGGTACTAAATGAACATGTGGTTGATCTTATATATATAGTGAACATTATAATATTTTAATAGACTAGTTTAAATGTAATGTTTTCAAGTTATAATTTGTTAAAGAGAATTTTTCTTGCCTGCTCACTCAAAGCTAGCTTTTTAACTTAATGGTTAATGTGTTAAACCAGAGGTTAGATGTGTTCAAGGATTGACTCCATGGCGAAATAACTCCACAGAGGTCAACGATGAGATCTTTAAGGGCTACCTGCAAGGAAATCAAGAGGAGAATATCAACTATGAGATTGTTGCAGGTTATTTCATTTCTTTATTATTGATGTGTTTGCATAAATAACTGCAGTTTTTTTACTGTTGTGTTTGTTGCTTTAATTAGCATACGATCTGTTGGACACCGATAAAAAAAACTTCAATGTGACCATCTTGTATAACTCAACACACAAGGAAAATTTAGTAGATAGGCGTGTAAAATTTGTTCGAGTTCCTCGCTTAGTCAATTTGGTAAGAAACCAAGTGTTCAAGACATCCTCATTTCCTTATACATGTGACATGTCTCTTGATCAATCGATCATATTCTTGCAGGTTTCAAATGCTTATCTTGAGTATTTGAAAGGGAAAGGGACAAAGATTCTATTCGATTTTGTGAAAGAAATGCCTAAGAAAGAAACTAGGCTTCGCATGGACATGGCGTCTCTCATTGGCCCCATTTTCTTCACATGGGTGATTCTTCTTCTATTCCCTGTAAGTTTGTATTCAATACACTCTCCAGGAGATCTTGCAAGTATTTTTTCATCGCAATATATGTTACTCTATATAAAAAATAAATAAATGATCTCCTCTAAATCTTGGAATCTAGAACTCAAATCATAACATTAAAATTAGTATTATCTCGAAAAAATCAATTACTATGTTTAATTTACAATATAATATTATAAAATGAATTTTTAATTTAGGAGGCTAAACATGCATTGGAGATATGTTCGTTACGTTCACAAAGTTCACTAGTATCAGCTTTCATTGGTTACCCCAAGCTTTGTTGAAATAGTGTTTAGGTTTAAAATGTTAGTACTTGTCACTTTGAAAGTTTTTTAATGCGTAAAGTGATAATGAAAGCAGAAATCAACAAGCATGTCATGGGATTTCAACTGTTGCAAGCATTTTATATGCAGGTCATATTGACGTCATTGATGTATGAGAAGCAGCAGCGTCTAAGAATTATAATGAAAATGCATGGGCTAGGTGATGGTCCGTATTGGATGATTTCCTACGCTTATTTTCTCGTCATATCCACGTTATACATTATAAGCTTGATGATATTTGGCTCAGCAATAGGTATTGTATCGTCCCCATGCATATCTTATGTTATTATAACTCTTATTTATTTATTGACCAACTTTTAAGAGCTGCATAATTATTTTTCAGGACTGAAGTTTTTTCGCTTTAATGACTACAATATCCAACTCCTTTTCTTTTTTCTCTACATAAATCTACAAATCTCCATTGCATTTCTAGTTTCTTCAGCATTTTCAAAAGTTGAGATAGCATCAGGTACTAAAGTCATACTTTCTAAATTTTGCTCAAGAGTCAAGTTCATGTTGGTGTTAATTAAAAGAATCACTCTTTCTGTTTTATGCTGAAATTCTAGTTGCTGCTTACTTATATGTCTTTGGAACTGGCCTATTGGGATTGTTTCTCTTCCAGTTTCTGATCGAAGAATTATCATTTCCCAGTAAGTTATCAAGATCAATATGAACAACACATAACTGACCAGTCTGACCACATTGCTGATTAATGGATAATTAATCTTTATTTTTTTTCAAGGATGGTGGATTTTTGTTATGGAGTTGTATCCAGGTTTCTCGTTATACCGTGGGCTATATGAGTTCTCTCAGTATGCTTTTCAGAGAAACTTGAATGGGATGGATGGGATGAAGTGGAAAGATTTTAGTGGTACTGCAATGGATAAAGTTTTCTCCATCATTATCGTTGAGTGGTTTCTCGCACTTCTTGCAACATACTACATTAATCGAGTTTCTTCATCCACCAAAGAACGTCCTTTTCCATTCTTGAGAAACCCTTTCAAGAAAATTCCTTCTCCACAAAGAATTAGCGTGGAACAACAAGGCTCTGAAGTTTCTGTAGAAATGGAGAAACTAGATGTCGCTCAGGAGGTATGCCAGAAAATGATTTACAATATTATTACATGCTCTTTTGATTATTATTATCTTACTGTTTTATTAATCAAAAAAAGTTTTCATATCAGAGAGAAAAAGTCGAGCAATTGATGATGCTTGAGCCTTGCACAACAAGCCATGCGATTGTATGTGACAACCTGATGAAGGTGTATCCAGGTAAAGATGGGAACCCTCCTAAAATGGCAATTCGAGGATTATCTCTAGCTGTGAGTTCAGGAGAATGCTTCGGCATGTTAGGACCCAATGGTGCCGGAAAGACCTCTTTCATCAACTCGGTCAGTACCCAAATGGACAAAAACATTATATGAACTCACATTCTGATTGAAAACCTTTGTCTACCATACTCTTACATAATATAAGCTGTGACGTAATTTTATGCTAGATGACTGGACTTGTGAAACCAACATCAGGCACAGCATTGGTTCAAGGTGTCGACATATGCAAGGATATGGACAGGGTATACACTAGCATGGGTGTATGTCCACAACACGAGTAACTATTCAAATTCTTGAAAACATTTTATTTGAGAAGATCATATATATAGTTGTTTCATCGTTTTTTTATTGTGTGTTTGTTTTGGACTAGCTTGCTCTGGGAAACGCTGACAGGAAGGGAACATTTACTATTTTATGGGAGACTTAAGAATCTCAAAGGCTCTGATCTCAACCTAGTATGTTATAAATCTTACTTTCCATTTCTACTACTCGAAAAAATTATCAATTTGGATGGTCAATTTCATGCTTATTAGGCTGTGGAAGAGTCTCTTAAGAGTGTGAATCTGTTTTGCGGAGGAGTTGCCGACAAACCTGCTGGTAAATACAGCGGAGGTATGAAAAGGCGGCTGAGTGTAGCCATTTCACTTATCGGGAATCCTAAGGTATATTATTGTTTGTATTGGCTTACTCATTTTAATTTGTTAACTACTTTAGAGAGGCGACTAAGACATGTAGCCTAGTTGTTTGTTGATAGTGTTGTTGTTGTGTCATCTTCCGGATATATTGAAGTTAATTAAACCTGATTTTGGTTAAAACTTAATATCTTGTTCAGAAACTAATTATTCACTATCAGTGGTTTCTTTACAGGGTAAACAATCGAAGTTTTAATATTCCAATTTTCTTTTGGTTATTTCTAAAGGTGGTATATATGGATGAGCCGAGCACAGGACTTGATCCAGCTTCAAGAATGAATCTATGGACAGTCATCAAACGTGCGAAAAAACACACTGCAATAATCCTCACTACTCATTCAATGGAAGAAGCCGAGTTTCTTTGTGACAGATTAGGGATTCTTGTAGATGGAAGGTTACAATGTATCGGGAACCCAAAAGAGTTGAAGGGAAGGTTTGGTGGATCATATGTGTTAACTATGACAACATCATCAGAACATGAGAAAGAGGTGGAGAGGTTGGTGCAAGATTTCTCACCAAACGCTAAGAAGATATATCACATTGCAGGGACTCAGAAGTTTGAGATCCCAAAAGAGGAAATCCGAATCTCGGAGGTGTTTCAGGCGGTGGAGAAGGCAAAGAGTAGTTTCGAAGTGTTTGCTTGGGGACTTGCGGACACAACACTTGAAGATGTCTTCATTAAGGTTGCTAGAACTGCTGAGGCCTTTAATGTCTTCTCTTGAATCTAGCTTCTTACGATTGTCACATTTTCGTATGTCCTAACGTCAATATTTTGGTGTGTGCTAAACTCTGGTCATATATAGTTAGAGGAAAGAGAGGTTTGACAATAACAATGGATATTCATCTAACTTTTTTTTTTTTTTTTTTTTGTGCACTCATCTAACTATATATAATAAGATATCCTTTTATTTTAGCAAAAGATAATATCTTTATTATTAATTGAGAAGTACATTGGTAATTTTTGGACCAAAAATCCAATCCATTTATAAAGAGAATGTGTTTGACAACATGTTTAATAAGGGTCAATTTTGTAAAAAAAACAATCAACTCGGCAAAATTGACTCAGTAACTCGGAATAGCCCACCCGGATTTGATTGGTTTTGGGACGCGGATCCTATGCCAACTTAAATCAAACCATACTCTGGTTTAGCTCCAATCTAATGTGATGGTTCAGCTTAACCAAAAATTGATTCAATGCCCAGTAGTTTAATTAAACCCGTATCCAACTTGTGACATAAATAAAAATAATAAAATAAAATACAAACAAAATATTGTGGTGATAATAGAAAATCGAAAATTGCTTGATTCAGAAGAAAAAAATCTTAGAAATAGTGGGATTCGGGTAGAGATAATTCTTAAATCTACGATACAAGTAATTCACCGATTAAGAAAATGAAAGCAATTTTGCAGAAGAAAGAGAAGTGAGAGTGAGATTGAGAAACCAACATTTTCGAAAAAGAGACTCCATTGAGGAGCTTTCCTGCAGTTATCAGAAGATTGAAAACCCAGATCCAAGGATGAGCAAATCCTAAACCCTCTCAGTAGTTTCATGAAACCTTCCTTGGAAATTTATGTATAATCTTCACAGTCTGCTAAGTTCAGAGAAACAGATGTGCGATTGGATTTTAATTTGGTGAAAGGAACAGAAACAATCGAAGATGAAAAAGTAGATGGTAACTGAGAAAATGGTTTAGTGCACACAAGAGAACAAACTCAGGAAGAAATGAGATGCATGGAGCTTGAAGATTGTAGAGAGATCATCGCCATAATTGGAGACAAAAATTTAGGTTTTTGCGATTGAACCAAATGGAGAAGAAGACGAAGAGGAGTAAAAACCAGAGGTGGGGAAGGGGAAATTAAAACACGTGGCGGAGAAATGACGGGACACCATTCGATATGGTTTTAATAATGGACCTATAGATATGTCTTAACTTTTAAAGATATTACATTTTGATTATGTGCACTAAACCATCCTCAAAAACTGATTATGAGTGTTTAAAAATATTGAATTATTGTAACATCAAAAATTACAAAATATGCTAATTACCACTCACTAAATTGACAAATAGGGAGATAATAGGTGTATATGGAATTTTGTTGGCTCGGTTTAGGTTTTTAGATTTTTCGGAGTTATAAATTTAAAGATATAAAAATTGTTCAAACTTTTTTAGATTGTTTTTTTTTTCTGGGTTTTCGAATTTTTCAAAGTTTTTTGAATTCTTTTTTTTGTTTTTTCGGGTTGGATTTGAGTTTCGGGTTAAAATTCCATAACTAATACTTGAACACATGACTTTGGTCGGGTTTTGCGGGTCAAATTTTTTGGATTTTGGGTTTCCGGATTAAAAGATATGAACACCGTTTGGTTTTCAAAAAATATTTGGTTCGGGTACAAGTTTTTCCAGATTTTAAGGTTTTTTTTAAAAATAAAAAAATAAATTTTAATAGGTTTTGGATTTTCAGATTTTTGGATTGACAAATAGAATGGTTTTTAACAGGTTTTGTTCAATTTTTCTAGACGGATTTTAGTGATTAAGGTATTAGTTTTTCTTCACTAAACCGCAACATCACACCGCACAAACGTGCAGGTACTAGTAGTAAGATATCTTATTCCCAAAACAATTAGCTAAATTCGCCACAAGACGCAACACAGTTTTTTTGTTGATGAAAAAGGTGATCTCTAAAGTGAGTGTAGTCATGAGTAGCCCACTTACTGGTATTCTAATGGGTCTAAATCACGACACCATTTCCATTAGCCAAATATTAATGTTTAAGATAATATCATATTTAGGAGAATCGATCTCTCAACTAAACAACCATGACAACTTTTCCTCAAATGAGAACCACTAAACCACCACTATTTGGTTGGAGATAGGGTATTTCTGTCGGTATTGTTTAATTATGTTACAACTTCACGTGCGAACTGGTCCTAAAGTCAACACACGTATTTTGATTGCCCGGCAGGCGAAATATATTTTGATTTGTCTGATTATTTAGTGTTTTATGATCATCACGTATCCGCATATATAATTAACAATTATAATTGCAAAGACATGATGAACAGATGAAGAATTCCTTCGTCGTAACGTCGTGGCCTCGTGGAATCACTCTTAATTTCTTTGATAAATTATTGCAAATATTCTTTCAAAAGTTTTATATTAAAAGATGCTTTCATAAAATAAAAGTTTTGTTTCATTTTGATTGAATAATTGATATTTTAGGTTTTCTTCCTTAACAGGATCGTCTGTTACCCAGAAGCATAAGGACTGACAGCACATGTCAAGATCAGGTCAAGATCTTGGATCAAATAATAATTAAAACCCTATAAGCATAAGGAAACATAAACACATAAGGAAAAGAAAAATCAAGATAACCGAAGAAGAAGCTTCACCAAATTAATGGCAAATCATGTTCCGACCAGTTTCTTGACGCGGGCCAATGCCTTGTTCAGGAAAAACTTAAGCTATCAGGTTTGGCCAAACAATACATGTGTTATTATATATGTAATTGTAAATCCACTGATGTTATACATATTGCGAGAATGTAACTATATATTGATATACTAGCTAAATCTATTTGGTGTAGAGACGAAACATATGGAGCAACGTTCGGCTCATTGTGATCCCTTTGTACCTCTGCGTGCTTCTAGTGGGCATTCAAGCTCTGTACGATGCACAGGTTAATGACTCAGCTGCTAATAAATGTGGTTGTCAATGCATTGATAGTAAATGCGAAACCAAGACTTGCGGTGTAGAATATTCATCTCAACAACAATCATTCTTCTGTGCCTTCCCGAGCCCTCCACCACTGCCTCCGTTGTTACATATTCCACGTCAAAGAACATCTTCTGAATCTTGCAGACAAACAGGATCTTGTTCCGTAGCTATACTTGTTACTGGGAGTAATCATTCCCTTGGAGCAAGTATGCCTCTTAAATTTTTCTCTCTAAAAAATTTGTTCTTCTATGTGTAATAATTGTATTAATTTTTTCCTCCTTTAGCTTTATCTACGAATCTACTACCTACTTCTTACGCGGTGAACTCCTCTGGCGACTTTCTCTTGCGTGATCTAGCCAATATTGTCTTGGCAAGTTCCTCTCTACTCGTATTCTTGTTTTTTCCGATTATATATTACCAAGTCTCTATCTCTCAAAGAATTATCATGAATATACTTTTTTTTAATAACATGAATATACATATATTCAGGGTACAACATCAGAGACAGATTTCACCAATTATTTTGATCCAGGGATTCACTCAAATCTTCCCATCTTCAACATCCAACCTCGGTGCAATATTCCAGCCGCTGCATCCTCACTCTCATTCGGACAGTTTCATAAAGGTACTATTAATGAGGTTTTATGGGTATATACAGTGATCAATGGACATAAGACATAATATGTATGTTTGTGTTATAAAAGCAGAAGTGAGATGCATTCAAGGATTGAGTCTCTGGCGAAATAACTCGATAGAGGTCAACGATGAGAGGTTCAGTGAGGTCGCTGCAGGTTAAATATTCCACTTCTCTAATGATTTGTCTCTGATCTGTGAAAATTATGACTCTTTCTTCCCTAATTTTATTTGTTGCTTTACTTAGCATATGATCTCTTGGACACCGATAGGAACAGATTCAATGTGACCATCTGGTATGACTCTACGAACAAGATCCGGATACTAAATAGACGTTTAAAGCTTGTCCGAGTCCCTCGATTGGTCAACATGGTAGTTAAAAAATCAAGACGTATTCATCATTTCTTCTCTCAATATGCTTTGTTTTTCAAGTAATTACTCTAAATGAATGACCATCAACATCTATTTAATTAGGTACGTAAATGAATATGAACCTTTAATCATTTACAAGAAAAAATGAATGCTATATTTCTAAATAAACCTTTTTCTTGGGTTAAATAGTACATTTATAATATTCAAAATACTGTAACTGTGTAACCTGGTATTTTGTTTAAACCTTTTTTATTCTAAATAAAATGCTGCTATTGTAACACCCCAAGTAAATGTTAATTTGTTTGTTTTTTGCAAATAAACAAAAAATTATAGTGATGGGAAGTCTTGATCAAACCAATTCTTAGACTCTGGGAAATATTTTGCAGGTTTCAAACGCTTATCTTGAGTATTTAAAAGGCGCAGGGACAAAGATGTTATTCGAGTTTGTCAAAGAAATGCCTAAAGTAGAAACTAGGCTTCGCGTGGAAATCACGTCTCTCGTAGGCCCCCTTTTCTATACATGGGTTATTCTTCTTCTGTTCCCTGTAAGTTCAGTTTTAGTTGACTGATTCAGGTTCTTACAAGTTACAAGAGTGTATACTGATCTGTAAATCTTGGAATTCATAACTATATTATATACATGCAGGTGATCTTGGACTCTTTGGTGTATGAAAAGCAGCAGCGTCTAAGACTTATAATGAAAATGCATGGGCTCGGTGATGGTCCATATTGGATGATCTCCTACGCTTATTTTCTCGCCATGTCCATGTTATACGTTATATGCTTGATGATATTTGGATCAGTAGTAGGTACTGAATCGTTACAATATTTTCAAAAGTATTAATATTCAAATCTTGAAAAAAGTATTAATATTTTCTCTATACATACATTGAAAAAGTATATATTGTTCTTTGCAGGACTCGAGTTTTTCCGGTTTAATGACTACAGCATCCAGTTCATTTTCTATTTCCTCTACATAAATCTTCAAATCTCCATCGCCATTCTAGTTTCCTCAGCATTTTCAAAAGTTGAGACATCATCAGGTACTAATTAAAGTTTTTTTATTGCTTTTCTTTTAAGTTTGTTTAGGAACATATTGGTGGCAAAAAGGAAAAAAATTATGTTTTTATTGCAAAATTGTAGTTGCTTCTTACGTATATGTGTTTGGAACTGGGCTGTTGGGCATGTTTCTCTTCCAGTTTCTGATAGAAGATCCTTCATTTCCGAGTAAGTTATCAAGATAACCTTGAAGAACACATAACATAACTCACCCACATTGCTAATTAATATATACTCTTTTAACTTTTTCAAGGAGGCTGGATTTTAGTCATGGAGTTGTATCCTGGATTCTCTTTATACCGCGCCTTGTATGAGTTCTCCAACTATGCCGTTCAGGGAAGCTTGAATAGGAACGCTGGGATGAAGTGGGAAGACTTCAGTAGTAATGGAATGGATGAAGTTTTCGCCATCATCATCCTTGAGTGGTTTCTTGCACTCATTGCAGCATACTGTATGGACCGAGTTTCTTTATCCGTGAAAGACCCTTTTTCATATTTTAAAAACCCTTTCAAGAAAAGTCCTTCTCCACAAAGAACTAGCTTGGAACAACAAGGCTCTGAAGTTTCTGTAGAAATTGAGAGACTAGATGTCGCTCAGGAGGTATGATAAGAAAATGATTCACAAAGTTATTACATATTCTTTTGCATTATTGTAGCTATTTTGATGGACTTTTATTTTGTTACAATCAGAGTGAAAAAGTTGAGCATATGATGCTTGAGCCAAGCACAAGATATGCCATTGTATGTGATAAACTAAAGATGGTGTATCCAAGTAGAGATGGGAACCCACCAAAAGTGGCAGTTCGTGGGTTATCTCTCGCTGTACCTTTAGGAGAATGCTTCGGCATGTTAGGACCTAATGGTGCCGGAAAGACTTCCTTCATCAACACGGTAAGTACCCAAATCGATATAAAATCCGTTGACCCTAGCTTCTGATCTGAAAATCTATATTTCTGGTCAGATGATTGGGCTTGTGAAACCAACATCAGGTTCAGCGTTTGTTCAAAGTTTAGATATATGCAAAGATATGGACAGAGTTTACACTAGCATGGGCGTATGCCCACAACACGAGTAATTATTCAAAAAAATTATATGAGGAGGTCATATTATGTACATGTTCATCAGTCTTATATTCTCTGTTGTGTATCAGCTTGCTCTGGGAGACGTTGACAGGAAGGGAACATTTACTGTTTTACGGAAGACTTAAGAGTCTCAAAGGCTCTGATCTAAACCAAGTATGTTATCAATCTTACTTTTCTTTGTTATCACGCCAAAAAGTATCAATTCATGGATGATCAATTTCATGCTTATTAGGCTGTAGAAGAGTCTCTTAAGAGTGTGAACTTATTTGACGATGGAGTTGCTGATAAACCTGCTGGAAAATACAGCGGAGGTATGAAAAGACGGCTTAGTGTAGCTATTTCACTTATTGGGAGTCCTAAGGTAGGCATTTGGCATTTGACTTAGACAATTTTAAGTTTTTAAAGATGTAACAAACCCATTTTTTGTTTGTTTTCATTTGGTTAACCTCTTAAAAAGGTGGTCTATATGGATGAGCCGAGCACAGGACTTGATCCAGCTTCAAGAATGAACTTATGGACAGTCATTAAATGTGCAAAGAAACATACTGCGATCATCCTCACTACTCACTCAATGGAAGAAGCAGAGTTTCTTTGCGACAGATTGGGGATTTTTGTAGATGGAAGGTTACAATGCATAGGGAACTCAAAAGAGCTAAAGGAAAGGTATGGTGGATCCTATGTGTTAACGATGACAACATCATCAGAACATGAGAAAGATGTGGAGAGGTTTGTTGAAAATGTCTCTCCAAACGCCAAGAAGATATATCACATCGCAGGCACACAGAAATTTGAGATCCCAAAAGAGGAAATCCGAATCTTGGAGGTGTTTCAGGCGGTGGAGAAGGCAAAAAGCAGTTTCAGAGTGTTTGCCTGGGGACTTGCGGACACAACTCTTGAAGATGTTTTCATCAAGGTTGCTAGAACTACTCAGGCCTTTAATGTCTTCTCTTGAAATTACTTAAGATTGTCATTTTTTTCTACGTTGAACGTCAATGTTTGCTTATTCATGGAGAGTTGTGGATAAATCCATATGTATATCCGCTGCAACTGCAAGATTGGGTATTAAAGAAATACATTTTCATGAACAAATCAAACTACATATTTATTCTTCCCATTAATTGAATACCGAAGATAAAGGAGTAGCTGGGAAGAGCAACAATTATGGTTTTAGAGGCTAAATGATATTTTTTGAAAAGTTTAAGGGCCAAATCATTTAGACATATTAAACACTTAAGAATTTGGGGGCCAATGCATGTTTCATGTGGCTGTCCTAGCTCCGAGGGTTTAATTAAGAACTGTTCGTTTTTCTGTTTTAAAACTGAAACTGATTTGAAATAAGAGTTTTCGTTAACCCAAAAAACAAAAAAAAAACAATTGATTTTTTTTTCTTGGTCCCTTCTATTGTCTATCATGCATTGCTTCTTGTCCAAGTAACTGCTAATGTGCCACATAGAAAAATGTTGTTTGAATCTTGAACAAAGTTTTATATATATATAAACGGTGAAAACATCATAGTCAGCTAAAATTACGAGACACTTTTACGTGCACCATTAAAATGGACTAAGCTTAATCCTTACGTTCACACGTGATTGCGTCTGAGATGACGTCGTTAATCATATATAATATGATTAGATGAAAATTAAAACTTTTCTTCAATACTAGCTACAGTATTACTCCCTCCGTTTCAAATTAGTTATCGTTTTGGCAAAATGTATCTGCAAATATTTGGACGTATCTGCAATGCAAAACACGTCCAGATACATTGAAACTAGTATTGTTGAAACCAATACAAATTGAAACTCTCCCTCTTCCACTAGTTGTCGGCGTGATCACTCTTTCGCAGCTTCGTGCATAATTTACAATGAAGATGGTCGCTTTCTTGATTGCGTTGTAATCACATTATTATATCGTTGTTGTTTGACCAAAGAAAAATCTCAAAAACTAATTCTCTATTTAAGAAAAGTAAATACTTGGAATTAAAAAGAAATTCAATGAGACGTACGTACAGTACGTAACGAAAATAAACAGCGTGAATCGTTGAAAGAAAATGAATAAATAAAAGCGTGTGCATAAGGGTAAATATGTAATTTCGACACACGAATCTGTTCTCCGTTCTCTGTTCTCTCCTTCTCTCTGCTCCGCTATATGAACAAAAAGGCGGTGGTTTGTTCCTTTACAACAGTTGATAATCAAAAATCAATTTTACTAACCCAAACCACAATCCCAGTTCTGTTTTTAAAATTATTTATTAATTCAGCGAGCAAGAGTAAAACAAATAAGAACCTTGTTCGTCGTCAATGGCGGATCCTGGTGGTGCTGCCAGTTTCTCGACGCGAGCCAATGCCTTGCTTAGGAAAAACTTAACCTATCAGGTACATGTCTATTCGTCTCCTCTACCGAAAATTCCAATTTCTACATAAACGATTATATCTCTCTCTCTATATATATATATTTGAGTTTCGTTTTCGTGTACGTACGCTGAAACGTGTAATGTGAGTAAATTGTGATTTGGAGATATAAATCGCTATTTTGAAAACTTGGTTGAACAGTTCTACAATGAAATTGAATGGCTAATTTGCTGAATATCGGATAGAATCACAGATTTTTGCTTCGAATTTCAGTGTAATTTGGTAATCAAGTATCCAAAACTTAGACATATATAAGACTAAAAGAGCTTGCTTTGCTTTAATCTTTTGAAACCTGAGTTTCCAGATAAAACGTTATGCTAAAAATTGCGACTTTTGAGTGTGTAGAAAAGGAACATATGGAGCAATGTACGGCTGATCATGATCCCTTTCTACCTCTGCGTGCTTCTGGTGGGGATTCAAGTCCTCTTCGATACACAGGTTAACAACGCTGATAAGAATCGATGTGGTTGCATAAACAAGAACTGCGGTATAGAATATTCGACTGCGGATCAAGCCTTCTTTTGTGCCATCCCTAGTCCTCCCCGATGGCCTCCATTGTTACAAGTTCCACCCCTTGAAAGCCGTGCTCTTAGTGACCCACGTGATGACTCTTGCAGAAGAACAGGATCTTGTCCTGTAACTATGCTTTTTACTGGGAAGAACCTTTCTCTTGGAGAAAGTATGCCTTCTTTTTCTCCCCCCACTTTGGTATATTTTGTGTTTTTTCTGGAACTAATCTCTAAGTTTTCTATAGGTTTAAGAGAGAATCTACTCACTAGTTCTGTAACTGGGAACACCTCTGACCTCTTGAGTATTTTAGCCAACAATGTCTTGGTAAGTTCTATTGTTTGAATTCTCTGTTTCCACTACCTTTCCACTATGTCTTAGCTTTCTCGAGCTCATGTTTCAGGGTACAACGGAAGAGGCTGGTATCACCAATTATCTTGATCCAGGGATTGCCTCAGATCTTCCCATCTACAATATCCAACCTCGCTGCATTTCAGACGCTACGATTCCATTCTCTTTTGGAGAAAAGCCTCTCGAGTTCAAGAAAGGTATTTAGTTTTCGATCCTATAGTACTGAATGTCCATATAATGTCCTCACTCAAAGTTGTCTTCTGAGGATGCATTGTTGCAGTCGATTAATGTAAAATTTGTGTCAAAACTAGAGTTGAGATGTGTTCAAGGATTGAATCTCTGGCGAAATACCTCTGTAGAGGTTAATGATGAGATATTCAAGGGATATCGGAAAGGAAATCCTGAGGGGAAAGTAAATGAGATTGCTGCAGGTTGTTCATCTTCTCTGTCATTTATCTAGAACCATGGTTTAGATGCACATGAGATTTCTGACTCTTCCTGTCTGCTTTTGTGTTGCCTTAGCATACGATCTTTTGAACACGGATAAGAACAATTTCAATGTGCACATCTGGTATAATTCAACATACAATAAAGGTGTAAGAAATAGGCCTGGAACATTGGTCCGAGTTGCCCGCTCAGTCAATTTGGTAAGAAGATAACAATGTGCTCTTTTACATGTGGGACCATATTCATGATTGAACCCATGCTTACACTTTGCCAAATTGCAGGTGTCAAATGCTTACCTTCAGTTTCTGCAAGGACCAGGAACGAGAATGTTGTTCGAATATATCAAAGAAATGCCTAAACAAGAAACTAGACTTCGTCTGGATATTGCGTCTCTCATTGGCCCCCTTTTCTTCACATGGGTTATTCTTCTTCTGTTCCCCGTAAGTTTACTTTAGGCTTTATTACACAAATATTTACCCTGATCTGCAACAATGTAGAAATCTCGGAAAGGACAAGAATTCTGTTTTCTCTGTAAGTTCATACTATAAAGCCATTTGTATGCAGGTGATATTGTCTTCATTGGTGTACGAGAAACAGGAGCGTCTAAGAATCATAATGAAAATGCATGGGTTAGGAGATGGTCCATATTGGATGATTTCCTACGCCTATTTTCTTACCATATCCGTGTTGTACTTTGTATGCCTGATGATCTTTGGGTCAGCAATAGGTAACTGAAGACTCCCTCCCTGTAAAATACACTTCTGGCATTATGGTTTTTGATATTGAAAATTTTCAACTCTCTGGGGTCATCATACATAGTTGCTGGTTTCTTTGCAGGACTGAACTTCTTTCGGCTTAATGACTACAGTCTCCAGTTCACTTTCTATTTTCTTTATGTAAATCTGCAAATCGCCCTTTGCTTTCTAGTTTCTTCAGTGTTTGCAAAGGTCAAGACATCAACAGGTACAAAAATCATATCTTCTTGAATTCGTTCAAGAACATGTTGGGGACTAGAGGAATTAATGGGATTTCTCTTTATGACTAAATTATAGTTGTTGCGTACATATACGTCTTTGGATCTGGACTTTTGGGCTTGTTTCTACTCCAGTTTCTGATTCAAGATTCATCATTTCCCAGTAAGTTATTAAGATTACTTGAAGAACGGATATTTTGATACACTCAGTTATGTGTTTATTTGCACAACTGACAATGATTGCAAATCAATTATACCTTTCCAGGAGGGGTGATTATTGTCATGGAGTTGTTTCCAGGCTTCTCCTTATACCGTGGGCTGTATGAATTCTCGCAATTTGCTTTCCTGGGAAACTTGAGAGGGACTGGTGGGATGAAGTGGAAAGATTTCAGTGATAGTGCAATGGATGAAGTTTTCTCCATCATTATCGTAGAGTGGTTTGTGACTCTCATTGCAGCATACTATATCGACAAGATCTCCTCATCCGGAAAAGACCTGTTGTTCTTCTTGAAGAACCCTTTCAAGAAAACCCCTTCTCTGAGAAGGCCTAGTTTACAGAGGCAAGGCTCCAAAGTCTTCGTTGAAATGGATAAACCAGATGTCACACAGGAGGTAATGACGAAACGATATCACAATATTATTCCATGTTCTTGATCATTTTGGTTCTGATAACGAAATTGTTTAAATCAGAGAGAAAGAGTCGAGCGGTTGATGCTTCAGCAGAGCACAAGCCATGCGATTGTATGTGACAACCTGAGGAAAATGTATCCTGGTAGGGACGGGAACCCCCCAAAGTTAGCAGTTCGAGGGTTATCTCTCGCTGTACCTTCAGGAGAATGCTTCGGCATGTTAGGGCCTAATGGTGCAGGCAAAACTTCCTTCATCAATATGGTCAGTACCCAAATGGACCAAATATCATGTGCTTATATCTAATGTACTCCCAAAAGAATTGGTGTTTCAGATTATAATATTTGTAGGCTTGTAGCCATAGTAACATGTACTGTGATTTTCCTCTCCAGATGACTGGGCTCCTGAAACCAACATCTGGGACAGGGCTTGTTCAAGGTTTGGATATACGCAATGATATGGACAGAGTATACACCAGTATGGGCGTTTGCCCGCAGCATGAGTGAGTAAATTCATGGAGTTATTTTCATTTTGTAACAGTTTCCTATCATTCTCTTATTTTTCTGTTGTATATACCAGTTTGCTCTGGGAGACGCTAACAGGAAGGGAACATCTTCTTTTCTACGGGAGACTTAAGAATCTCAAAGGCTCTGATCTCAAACAAGTATGCTATCAAATCTTACTTCTCTCCTGTACAACTCCAAAAAGTTATCAAAACGTCAATTTCATTGATGATGATCAATCTATCTATCTCTCATCGTTACTTACCTTGCATTAGGCTGTGGAAGAGTCTCTTAAAAGTGTCAACCTTTTTCACGGAGGGGTTGCTGACAAACCTGCTGGGAAATACAGCGGAGGTATGAAAAGGCGACTGAGCGTAGCTATTTCACTCATTGGGAATCCTAAGGTGGTTTATATGGATGAGCCAAGCACAGGACTTGATCCAGCCTCGAGAAAGAACCTATGGACTGTTATTAAGCGTGCAAAACAACACACCGCCATAATCCTCACAACCCATTCGATGGAAGAAGCAGAGTTTCTCTGCGACAGATTGGGTATTTTTGTGGACGGAGGCTTGCAATGCATTGGCAACCCAAAAGAGCTGAAGGGAAGGTACGGTGGATCTTATGTCCTTACAATGACAACATCATCAGAAAACGAAAAAAACGTCGAGAAGCTGATTCAAGACGTCTCTCCAAACGCCAAGAAGATATATCACATCGCAGGGACTCAGAAGTTTGAGCTTCCAAAGGAGGAAGTTCGGATCTCGGAAGTGTTTCAGGCGGTGGAGAAGGCGAAGAGCAACTTCACGGTGTTTGCTTGGGGACTCGCAGACACAACTCTTGAAGATGTGTTCATCAAGGTTGCTAGAACTGGTCAAGCCTTTAATGTCTTCTCTTGATCATCTAATTAGATTCATACTTCCATTTGTTTTGTGTATGTTTTGCTACCACATGATACAAATATAGTGATCGTAAAGGTTTCATGTATAATTACTGGAAATATAATTTTACAAAAATATGAGAATTACGATGAGATTTCAGAGCCATTGGTTTAAACTTTGTTGGTTCATGTCAAATTGTCAATGATCATATATGAAGTATGGACTATCAAATTTGTGTTTTATTTGGTTTGCTAAGAAACTAAATCGAAGTGGTTGAGATTTATACTTGTGGCAATGAATCCATATTTTTCTTATTATATGCATATTTGAATAAATTTGGTGAAGAATACATTTCTTGGGTGAGTGATGCAAGCAAAGACTATTACTTGACCTGCACGAATGAGACCTTACAAGAAAACACAGTGCTCTTGTATAACTAAACTTTTCTTCTTGTTTTGAATGAACTTTTCAGACCTATTTATTATTTAAAGAATACCTTAGCAAACATGTTTATTTATGGCCCCATGGTCTGTCTGTTCAAGGCTGATCGAATACAGTCAAATATTTATACTGGGGAAGGAATCTTTCATTAAGAGAATAAAACACGTGGATAATTGGTGAATCTTGTGACAAACTAACTAATCGCGAGCCAACATATTAACCGCCTTTTCTCGTTGTGTTTTCATCGGTACCGTCGATTGCTTTATACTTCAACAATTGACAAGATCTCTCGGTAGTTAGCTCCGAAATCTATAACCGACCCGTATTTTAGGTTTTGCTCGCGCCAATATAAACAACGGTTGACATCTTCATCTCATCTTTACCTGAATCTCCCGCTGTTGATCGCAGCCGCATCCTCTTTTTATATGAGTTAGGTTATAATAAACTCCGACTCTTTTTTTCCCTGAGATTCTTCGTTTCCTTCTTTGATTAACTTTCGAATCTCCTTGTTTCTGGATGATGATTTCTCGATTCGGTCTGTGTTGATCCTTAGCACCGATATGCAATCATTCGATTTTTGTCGCTGGTCGTCGTGGTACGTAAGTTTTTTGTCTTTCGTTAGGGTTTCTCAAATTCGTTAGTTATGTTTCCAAATCCTTCCCGAGTCTTCTTCTGATGGAAATTTCTATTTCGGATTCTTATTTCCCTAGGGTTTAAGCAAGGAGAACAGGAACAGAGGCATCTGATCAATTCTCGTTGATCAATAACTACGAATCCTGATGGTACAAGGAACGGGAGCAACCGCATCTGATCAATTCTCGTTGATCAACATCTACAAATCCTGATGGCAAAAGGAATGATTTTGGTCGTGAATCGTGATGGTGTTTTCTTATTGCGTTATCTATCTCTATAGATTAAAACTATTGCACAGACGTGTTTGAGCTTTCAAACTGAGAGAGGGAGAAATGAAAGATGTATCGAAAGAAGAAAATAGTGAGGGATATGACCTTTGCCATGACAGGTGCGCTTGCTTGGCAGGTCAAAACCATCAATAAAAAGATACACTTTCATATGCTTCTTGCATAATCTGTCATATGCTTCTTGCATATCTACAAAGAGTACTTGCTCTTACTTATGCTTCTTGCATATCTACAAAGAGTATCTCACTCTTTCATATTATGTCATATGCTTCTTGCATATTCTGTCATATGCTTTTTGCATATCTACAAAGAGTACTTGCTCTTACATATGCTTCTTGCATACACTTTCATATGCTTCTTGCATAATCTGTCATATGCTTCTTGCATATCTACAAAGAGTACTTGCTTTTACTTATGCTTCTTGCATATCAACCAAGAGTATCTCACTCTTTAATATTATGTCATATGCTTCTTGCATATCTACAAAGAGTACTTTCTCTTAATTACTTATGCTTCTTGCATATCAACCAAGAGTATCTCACTCTTTCATATATATACATATACTTCTTGCATAAATATTTTAATATGCTTCTTGCTTAAATATATTCATATGCTTCTTGCATATCCACAAAGAGCATCTTGCTCTTTCATATGCTTCTTGCATATCACAGACCCAAGATTGAGGCATCACTTATGCTCTTTAATATGGGCCTTGCACCAAGTGGAGAACAAGGCAAGAAGATGGCTGAAGACACCAAAGCTAAATATGGTATTTGCGTTTTGGGAGCAATTTAGGAATAGAGGAGAACAAGACATAAAATAGGTGAAGAAGGAAGCTACTGGTGAGAAGGGTTGTGTCTGACTGTCTACAAAAGCTATTTCTTCGTTGTGTCAGTCAAAGAAGAACAATTGTGAAGGAGAAGCAGAAGGAAAAAGTTGGATTTGTAGTTAATAATGAAAGAGTAGTTAAGACTCTTCCTTAAAATCGTATTTGCTAGTCGGTTTCTTTTTGTAGTATGGTTGGAAGTATCAATGGGTATACACTTATATGCCCTTGATCGGTTTAAATTGTTTAGTTTGTAGATGAGTAAACCATTTTAAATTGGCAATGTCTAGGTTTTCATTAATTCGATTGCTCATTTTACTGCAAAATGTCAGAGCATGTAATACATAAATTAAATGTCCTCACACTAAAGGATGATTATCAGAGATTTATAGCTTCTTTACTACGACTTAAAGATGAAAGTAACAACGGTTGATTGAATTGATTATAACAAATACGGTTGTATAAGTCGAAATAAATGTATGATATAAGTTCAAGCATAGTAGTCTATCTTCAATTACGTTAGTTCGGGCTAATATCAATTAGCTTAAACCTGTTCGAGAGTAAATATCGTATTATGTTTTGTAATATCAGTGACCAGTAGGTACACATCACACATATGGATATTAGGATTTGAAGACGTAAATTATTTTGGTGGATGTGGCCCATGTACACTATTCTTTGATGGCTCTAATAATTCGTATTGGTTTTCATGCATCTTTTATATCAGTACAAAGTAAGCCAATGTGTGAAAAATACCAAAATCAAAATGTATTACAAGAAAAGTAAATATGATCTGGCCACAAGTGGATCGGAAAAGGCAATGGAGGTTTAGGATTGAAGCGATCGATCGTTATGTTCGATTCAACATAATTCTGATATGTGTCCAATTTAGAGCAACCTAACTATTTGCACACAAAACCGATGAAGTAACTTTTTGTTATCTGTATTTTCAGATTGAACCGGACGACAATTGAATGAATCAAATATTACAAAAAGATTATCAACCAAACTTTAATTTTCTACTGAATAAAATATAAATATTTAAATGAATAAAATTAATAAAAGTCAAAAGAAAAAAACTCATTAAAAAAAAATTGAAAGAAATACATTGAGCACGAACAAATCCAACCGAGACTAAAGCAAATTATCTATTGACTAAAGTCAAATGAACTTTATTTTCTCATTAATTGAATATAGAGGAAGATAAAGAAATAGATGACATATAATATCGGATAATGCTGCTACTATTGGTTAACCAAGACTTTTTCGTAGTAATAAGAAGTTTTCTAATAATTTAGATTTTGTCTTTTTATAGGACCAAAGCAATGCTTCTTATCCAAGTAACTACTACCACGTAGGAAAATTCGTTTGAATTTGAACTATGTTATTTTTACTCCACGTAGGAGCATTTTATAATGTTATTTTTAAACGGTCAAATTTCATAGTCAACCAAAATTACCCGAGACTTTTAGTTTCACGTAAGATAAAGTTTTAAAATCGACTAGTTTTAATTTACGTTTACAATTACACGTTATTACGTCTGTGGTGACGTCGTTAAACATATAATATGCCGATTAGAAACATTATTCTGTATTAAAAGAACTCTCTATCTTCCACTAGTTGAAGAATCTAAATAGTCGTGGTTCACTCCTTCGCAACTTCGTGCAAAATTTACATTGAAGTTTTCTCGATCGTAGCTTTCTTGATTTCGTTGAAAATCACCTTTTCGTTGTTGTTTTGACTTTTGACCAACGAGAAAAATGATGGAGACGTGCTTAACGAAAATATAAAGCGCGAGTGAGTAAAAGGGTATTAATGTAATTTTGGATACGCGTATGACGTCTCTGTTCTCCGTTGTCCTTCTCTCCGCCTGCTAAATAGCCAAAAGGCGGTGGTTTGTTCCTTCTCAACACTTGAAAATGAGAATTCGATTTTACTAACCCAAACCAGAATCCTAAAATTTCAAAAGGAGACTAATTTAGCGAGGAAGAGAAAAATAGAAGTAATTAACAGAAGAAGCTTGTTCGTCGTCAATGGCGGATCCTGGTGGTGCTGCCAGTTTCTCGACGCAAGCCAATGCCTTGCTTAGGAAAAACTTAACCTATCAGGTATAACTGTATAAGTCTATTCCTTTCCTCTACGGAAAGCCCAATCTAAACATAACGAGTATCTATCTCTCTCTCTCTCTCTATATATATATATATATATATATGAGTTTCGTCTTCGTGTAATGTGAGTAAATTGCGAAACGGAGATAATAAATCGCTATCTAGGGAACTTGACTGAGAAGTTATACAATGAAATTAAATGGCTAATTTGCTGAGTATCGGACAGATAGACATTTGGTACTCAAATAGGTAATCAAGTATCCAAGACTTCGACACATATATACATTGAGGTTAAATAACGAGAATCTAATTTATTAAACTGAGTTTCCAGATAAAACGTTATGCTAAAAAAAATTGCGACTTTTGAGTGTGTAGAAAAGGAACGTATGGAGCAATGTTCGGCTGATCATGATCCCTTTCTACCTCTGCGTGCTTCTAATGGTCATTCAAGTCCTCTTCGATAAAAATTTTAATAACTCCGTCGAAAATCAATGTGGTTGCCAATGCATTGATACTCAATGCCTAAACAAGACTTGCGGTTTAGAGTTTTCGTCTCCGGGTCAAGCATTCTTTTGCGCCATCCCTAGTCCTCCACAATGGCCTCCTCTGTTACAAGTTCCACGCCCTGAAAGCCGTGCTGTTAGTACCAGTTCCCTCGGGAACAGAGACTTGCCTGATGACTCTTGCAGAAGAACAGGATCTTGTCCCGTAACTATACTTTTTACTGGCAATAACCAGTCTCTTGGAACAAGTATGCCTCTTACGCCCCCCTTTGTCTTCTTCTTCGGCCGTATTTTATATTGTTCTCTCTGGAAATAATCTTCATGTTTTCTATAGGTTTGACTGAGAATCTGCTCACTAGTTCTGTAACTGGGAACTCCTCTGACATCTTGAGTATTTTAGCCAACAATGTCTTGGTAAGTACTAAGTTCTATGTTTGAATTCTGTCTGTTTCCACTATGAAGTGTGTGAACCTGGCTCTTAGCTTTCTCGAGCTCATGTTTCAGGGTACCGCAGTAGAGGCAGATATCACCAATTATCTTGATCCAGGGATTGCCTCTGATCTTCCCATCTACAGCATCCAACCTCGCTGCATTTCAAACGCTACGATTCCATTCTCATTTGGAGAAAAGCCTCTCGAGTTCAAGAAAGGTATAAAGTTTTCGATCCTATAGATGTTACCGAATGTTAGATTTGTTCAGTTTACTTCGGAAATTATACATATCCTCACTGAATGTTAGATTTGTTTGTTAAACATTATATTCCTTTCTTCCAATATATATTGTTCTCACTCAAAGTTGTCTTCTGAGTATGCAATGTTGCAGTCGATTAATGTAAAATTTGTTTCAAAACCAGAGTTGAGATGTGTTGAAGGATTGAATCTCTGGCGAAATACCTCTGTAGAGGTCAATGATGAGATATTTAAGGGTTATCGGAGAGGAAATTCTGAGGGGAAAGTAAATGAGATTGCTGCAGGTTGTTCATCTTCTCTGTTATTTACTTATAACAATGCCTAATATGCACAGGAGATTTCTGACTCGTCCTGTCTGCTTTCTTGTTGCCGTAGCATACGATCTGTTAAACACGGACAGGAACAATTTCAATGTGCACATCTGGTATAATTCAACGTACAGGGAAGATTTAGGAGATAGGCCTGTGACGTTGGTCCGAGTTGCCCGCTCAGTCAATTTGGTAAGAATATAACGATGTACTCAAGACAAATGGGATCACTCTTCATCATTGCATTTTCAATATTCTCTTTTCCATGTGGGATCACTTTGCCAAATTGCAGGTGTCAAATGCTTACCTTCAGTTTCTGCATGGACCGGGAACAAGGATGTTGTTCGAGTATATCAAAGAAATGCCTAAACAAGAAACTAGACTTCGTCTGGATATTGCGTCTCTCATTGGCCCCCTTTTCTTTACATGGGTCATTCTTCTTCTGTTCCCTGTAAGTTTACCTAAGGCTGTTTTTCCACAAATATATTTATAAATCTAGAAAAGGACAAGAATTCTGTTTTCTCTCTAAGTCTATACAGTATAAGATATGAAATACCTACTTCAAATCCATCTGTATGCAATGCAGGTGATCTTGTCGTCATTGGTGTACGAGAAACAGGAGCATCTAAGAATCATAATGAAAATGCATGGGCTAGGAGATGGTCCATATTGGATGATTTCCTACGCCTATTTCCTTACCATTTCCGTGCTGTACATTATATCCTTGATGGTATTTGGGTCAGCAATAGGTAACTGAAGCCTCCTCACTGTCAATACTTACTTGCATTATGATTCTTTTATATATAATTTTTTTCACTCTCTGGGCTTATCATCGTTGCTGGTTTCCTTTCAGGACTGAACTTTTTTCGGCTTAATGACTACAGTCTCCAGTTCACTTTCTATTTTCTTTATGTAAATCTGCAAATATCCCTTTGCTTTCTAGTATCATCAGTATTTTCAAAGGTCAAGACATCAACAGGTACACAAGTTATGACTTCTTGAATTCGTTCAAGAAAATGTTGGTAATAAGAAGAATTAATGGGCTTTCTCTTATGTCTAAATTATAGTGGTCGCGTACATAGACGTGTTTGGATCCGGACTTTTGGGCTTGTTTCTACTCCAGTTTCTGATTCGAGATTCATCAGTTCCCAGTAAGTTATTAAGATTATTAACCTGAAGAAGAGAATGAAGAAGATTATACACTCGATCATGTGTTTATTACGTTTACAGGAGTGTGGATTATTGTCATGGAGTTGTTTCCAGGCTTCTCCTTATACGGCGGGCTGTATGAATTCTCACAGTTTGCTTTCCGGGGTAACATGAGAGGGACAGATGGGATGAAGTGGAAAGACTTCAGTGACAGTGCAATGGTTGAGATTTTTATCATCATTATCGTCGAGTGGTTTCTCGCACTCATTGCAGCATACTATATCGATAAGGTCTCTTCATCCGGAAAAAGCCTCTTGTTCTTCTTGAAAAACCCTTTCAAGAAAACCCCTTCTCTGAGAAGGCCTAGTTTGCAGAGGCAAGGCTCCAAAGTCTTTGTTGAAATGGAAAAACCAGATGTCACACAGGAGGTATGACATAAAGATTCACAATATTATTCAATGTGCTTCATCATACAAGTTCTGATAAAAAAAACTTTGTTCCAAGTAGAGTGAAAAAGTAGAGCAGCTGATTCGTGAGCAGAGCACAAGCCATGCGATTGTATGTGAAAACCTGAAGAAGGTGTATCCTGGTAGGGACGGGAACCCCCCAAAGTTGGCAGTTCGAGGGTTATCTCTCGCCGTGCCTTCGGGAGAATGCTTCGGCATGTTAGGGCCAAATGGTGCTGGAAAATCTTCCTTCATCAATATGGTCAGTACCCAAATGGTTAAGTTTAGCATCTAATATCATTGTTGATCGACAAAGTCTATATAGTAACATTCAAAAGGTTGTGTTTCAGATTATAAATCTTTTGTATTTTCTCTGCAGATGACTGGACTTTTGAAACCAACATCTGGGACAGGGCTTGTTCGAGGTTTGGATATACGCGATGATATGGACAGAGTATACACCAGCATGGGCGTTTGCCCGCAGCATGAGTGAGTAACTTCATGGAGTTGTATTCTTTTTTTTTCTTCACCAATTAAGAACACAAACAGTTTCCTATCATTATCTTAGTTTTTCTGTTGTATTACCAGTTTGCTCTGGGAGACTCTTACAGGAAGAGAACATCTTCTCTTCTACGGGAGGCTTAAGAATCTCAAAGGCTCTGATCTCAAACAAGTATGTTACCAAACTTCCCCTTTATAGAACTCTTAAAAGTTATCAAAACCTCAATTTCATTGCTGATGATCAATCTATTTATCTATCTCTCTCTCTCATCGTTACTTACCTTGCATTAGGCTGTGGAAGAGTCTCTTAAAAGTGTCAACCTTTTTCACGGAGGAGTTGCCGACAAACCTGCTGGGAAATACAGCGGAGGTATGAAAAGGCGGCTGAGCGTAGCCATTTCACTCATCGGAAATCCTAAGGTACACAGTTGTCTGATTGTTTGCTTATTATTTGTAATCACACCCTTTAGAGATAGTACACCTGGAGAGTTTCAAGCTTAATAAACTCATCCTCATTTATTTTTTTGTCCTTTGAAGGTGGTTTATATGGATGAGCCAAGCACAGGACTTGATCCAGCTTCTAGAAAGAACCTATGGACTGTCATCAAGCGTGCAAAACAACACACTGCCATAATCCTCACTACCCATTCGATGGAAGAAGCAGAGTTTCTGTGCGACCGATTAGGTATTTTTGTGGACGGAGGCTTGCAATGCATTGGCAATCCAAAAGAGCTGAAGGGAAGGTACGGTGGATCTTATGTGTTTACGATGACAACATCATCAGAAAACGAGAGAAACGTCGAGAAGCTGATTCAAGATGTCTCTCCAAACGCCAAGAAATTGTATCACATCGCAGGGACTCAGAAGTTTGAGCTTCGAAAGGAGGAAGTTCGGATCTCAGAAGTGTTTCAGGCGGTGGAAAAGGCGAAGAGCAACTTCACGGTGTTCGCTTGGGGACTCGCAGACACAACTCTTGAAGATGTGTTCATCAAGGTTGCTACAACCGGTCAAGCCTTTAATGTCTTCGCTTGATTTTTTTTAGATTCATATATACTTCCATTTGTTTTGTGTATGTTAATATTGCTACCACATGATGCAAAGATGGTGATTGTAAGATTTCGTGTATAAATTACTGGAAATATAATATTACAAATTTGTGAATTATTATGAGATCTCACAACCATTGGTTTTAGCTTTGTTGGTTCAGGTCAGTGATCAGTCTCGTCGTCGGATTTCAATGTCATATATGGACTATCAAATTTTGGATTATTAATTTTGAGTTCCTAAGAAGAAACTAAATCGAAGTGGTTGAGATTTGTACTTGTGGCAATGAATCCATATTTTTCTTATTATATGCATATTTGAATAGATTTGGTAAGGAGTACATTTCTTGGGTGAGTGATGCAAGCAAAGACTATTACGTGACCTACACGAATGAGACCTTACAAGAAAACACAGTGCCCCATTGTCCAATACATGTATGCCATTTCAGTAACGTGTACAGTTAGCAAATGTCTTCTCTTATTTCTTTGTTTTATTCATAATAGTTATTTCTTCACAATGCTCTATGTATACATCTAAGAAAAACATTTAGATATATCACAAAATCATTCGGCTCCATCAAATCTTCTTACTTTCTCTGTGATGGCGGATTCGAGCCCTGCAAGTTTCTTGACTCAAGCCAACGCTTTACTTCGGAAGAATTTAGTTTTTCAGGTTTTCAAAACTTTCTCAAAGACTTATTTTGTACAACTTAAACAGCTAAAACAGAGTAAATATCAACGATGAGGTTTTATTGTTTTTTCTTCTTTGATGCAGAAACGGAACATATGGAGCAACGTACGTCTCATCACGATCCCTTTATTCCTCTGTATACTCCTACTTGTTGTTCAGATGCTCTTTGACACTCAATTCAACGATGTACATGGTCAATGTGGCTGCTTAAATGAGAAAACTTGCGGCTTACGTTATTCCACTTCAGAGCAAGCAGCGTTTTGCGCCATTCCTAATCCACCACAATGGACTCCTTTACTGCAAATCGCGCTTCCTCAATACCGACCTGCGATTCAAAACCCTAACCATGCTTCCCCTGCAACTTTCTTCTTCACCGGGAATAATCAGTCCCTTGGAAAAAGTATGAAAACCATATGGATCTTCTCCTTTTCCCAAATGAATATATATAAAACTGCTTTTTTATGTTCTACCAATATGTTTGTATTTTCAGTTCTAATGGGAAATATGTATGGAAATTCATCAAAAATTGATGGAGATTTAGCCAATCATGTCTTGGTAAAGTTCTTGAGTCTACTCTTTTTGTGTGTTCATTTCATTTTGATTCACTAAATTTGTAATATACATATATATATATATATACAAATATTATATATATACACAGGGCTCAGCATCTTTGCCTGCATACACCAATTATATGGACTCTGCTTTCATCTCAGATATCCCCATATACAACATCCAACATGAATGCTCACAAAACTCTTCTTTCTCAATCTTAATTCACCAATCACCTCTTTCTTTCCCCAAAGGTATTTTAAAAGTTTTCACATTATATTTATCAAAATCTTGATGCATTCAAGAGTGCTTTTAAAAACAGAGGATTTATTTCTTGTGTGTGTTCCCTTGAGTCTAGAGATAAAGTGTGTCCAAGGATCAAATCTGTGGCGGAATAGTTCTTCCGATGTGAACAATGAGCTTTACAAGGGTTACAGAAAAGGAAATCCAGACGACAAGATCAACGAGTATGCAGGAGGTTTCTCATCATCATTTCATCTCAGCTCAAGCAAAATATTGTTTGTGTGACTAAAATTTTCCATTTTACAGCCTTTGATTTTCAGAACACGAATAGGAACAATCTCAACGTTACTGTTTGGTACAACTCCACATACAAGAACGATACAGTGGTTCGGCCTATGGCTCTAATTCGAGTCCCTCGCTTAGTCAATATGGTGCATTTTTGCTTAACCTTTTACTCAAACATATAAAGATGTTATCATTTACTACACAATCTTGAGTGATGTTATCATTTTTACTAAACATATAAAGATGTTATCATTTTTGCTTTTGTCTGTAACTGTTCAGGCATCTAATTCATATCTTGAGTTCCTAAAAGGTTCAGAGACAAAGATACTTTTTGAGTATGTCAAAGAAATGCCCAAACCAGAGACTAAACTTAACCTAGACATCACATCTCTAATCGGTCCTCTCTTCTTCACATGGGTCATTCTCTTGTTATTCCCTGTAAGTCTTTAGATTGTACCATTGAAAACATTCCTCATCTCTAGTTTTTCATCACAGTTATTCTCTCGATCATTTTATAGTTGATCTTAACAACACTGGTCTATGAGAAACAACAGAGGTTAAGAATCATGATGAAAATGCATGGACTCGGTGATGCTCCTTACTGGATAGTTTCTTACACTTATTTTCTTCTTATATCAGTTCTATATATGTTGTGCTTCGCGGTGTTTGGGTCAGCCATCGGTAATTATATAACTATCTCTATCGAATTTGCTAATGTATGTGTCACTTCAAAATCTTTCTATGTTCCTTCTCGGTTCTTGATGCTTTTGCTTTTTTCCAGGCTTAAACTTCTTCAGGCTTAACGACTATAGTATCCAACTTGTGTTCTTCCTGATTTACATTAATCTTCAGATATCAGTCGCCATTTTAGCCTCAGCAATATTTTCAGATGTTAAAACTGCTACAGGTACAGTACTCCTTGCTGTTCTAATTCAAGATTCAATCAAATGATGATCACAATTTTTTTTTTACATTTTCATTTGAATCTATTCAGTTATAGCATACATATATGTCTTTGGAACCGGACTCTTAGGAATCTTTCTTTTCCAATTCTTCTTGGAAGATCCTCACTTCCCAAGTAAGTTCTTGAAACCCAAATCAAACTTTGTGCTAGTCTAATCCAAGCAGGTTTTCTAATGATCATGTGATTCTTTTTGTTTCTAGGAGGCTGGATCATTGTGATGGAGCTGTACCCAGGATTTTCTTTGTACCGCGGATTATATGAGTTATCACAAGCTGCATTTTCAGGAGATTATCGTGGTGTAGATGGAATAAGATGGGGAGATTTTGACAATGGAATGAAAGAAGTGACTTGTATCATGCTCGTTGAGTGGCTGTTACTTCTTGTTTCATCATATTACATTGATCAAATCACTTACTCAAGGAAACATCCTTTGTTCTTTCTCCGGCAAGGCTCTTCAAAGAAGAAACAACATCATTCCTTTCACAACCAAATCTCCAAAGTTGTTGTAGAAATGGAGAAACCAGATGTGTGTCAAGAGGTAAAAGAAAGAGACAAGATCAAGATTCAGGTTTCAATATTGACAAGGCTGAGTAAGATTTTTATGTATGTATGTATTATTTTCTGGTGTCAGAGCGAGAAAGTAGAGCAGTGTCTACTAGAATCAACTGGAAACTGTGCGGTTTTATGCTATAATCTCAAGAAAGTGTACTCAGGTAAAGATGGAAATCCTAAGAAGCTTGCGGTAAGAGGATTGTCTCTTGCTTTGCCTCAAGGAGAATGCTTTGGCATGCTTGGCCCTAATGGAGCTGGCAAAACCTCTTTCATCAATATGGTTCGCTTGAATACTATTTCTGTTTGATCCTTTTGATCAACCCTTTTAGTGTTCTAATGTTTATGTGTAGATGACAGGACTCACTAAACCATCATCTGGTACAGCATTTGTCCAAGGACTTGACATACTAACCGATATGGACAAGATATATACAACGATTGGAGTCTGTCCGCAACACGAGTATGATACTTTCATCTACAAGTATAACTGGTAAAAGAGTTGTTCTGCTATTAAGGAAAAATTTTGTTCTGTAGATAATCATGAAGATTAATTAAAAATCTTCCTTAAAAATCGTATTTGTTAATCTGTTTCTTTTTGTAGTATATGGTTGGAAGTATGAAAACATTACATTTTGATAAAGCAATCATATGAAAGCATGTGATTTAAAATATATATATATATATAAAACATGATAATATTTTGTCATTTTCATATATTTTGCTTATAATTCTCTTACGTTTTGTTTATGTTATGCTTATTTTGGTTATTTTATTTTATTTTTTCAAAACAAAATTCAATAGTAATACTAATGTATTGATAAAAATTTCATTAAAAGATAAATTATTATTAAATTGCTTTAAGAATTTAATCATCTTTTGAAGTTGACGACAAAAGATGGCAAAACTGTCTGTGAAGAACCCAATAAGCTGACCAAACGAATGAATGATGGAAGTTTATTAAGGATAAGGGAGTCACTAAAGGTTGAGTAGTCTGTCGTTGACTTCTCTGCCTCTAAGAATATATTGATATACCCTCTGGAACGAAATCGGACTCTCGTCCAATGAGATTCAGAGGCTCATCTTCGACATGTGCTTTACTTTCACTCGTTGCTTTGCACAATTTCATTTACTACATCGACTCCCAATTTCATTTACTACGTAATGAGCAAAGAAAACGTACGTATCAATTCCCTTTTTAGTTGAGTTTTTTTCCTCACCCATTAAGGTAAGTAGAGTCGGGACTTTAACAGAATCCATGTAACCGATCCAAATTAGAAGAACCAAACCGAACCAAAACCAAAATAAAATCTGATGGGTCCTAAATTTAACCACATTTGTCCATAACTTACCACCACAAAATCGGATTCAGAGTGAACGAAGTTGATTAACAATCTGATTCGACAACGATAAGAACATTAAGAAACCAAGAAAGTTTTCATATGTATCATTGCAACTTGATTTAAAAATATATAGTAAATTACAAAAACTTTTAAAAATAAGTTTTATAAAAATTTAGAACACAGTTATGTAAGTAGACATTGTTTTACATATGATAAGTACTGAGTCAAAATCACTATAATATTTAATATAATATAATATAATATAAAAGAGACTAGTTTTAAAAACAAAAATCTATAAAAGATTAATTGATTGTTTTACCATATTTGAATTTGTGAATTTATCTAAATTGAATCCAACGTAATGATGACTGGATTCTCTATAATGCCATATCTAGTGAATGCTACATCAACATGATCATCTTGTAAATAACATTGGCTAAAATTGGTGTTTTACAAGTTTCTTTTTTCTGATGACAAATCGTATCATGTACTGTATGATTAGATTTGTAGTTTTTCTTTTCCATTTTTTCTCTTACTTGAGTTATTCTTTTATTGTCTAGATTTTGTTTTTGAAAAACTCATTATTCATTTCCTTTTTGTAATTTTATTTGTTTAGGATTTAAATAATTAACAAAAAAACACATGTAAACGTATTGTGCTTTATATAATAAGAGAAAGTCTCCTACATACATATAAAATATGATTTCGTTATATGTAAGATTCTCTAATTAGAATCTCTGCCATTTCTGATTTGTATTCATATATTGTCGGATCAACAAATACAAGGATCATGAATTCCATCCCGATTGATCTCGTTCTCGAAATATTCTCGAGATTGCCTCCAAATTCAATAGCAAGGTGTTGTTGCGTGTCGAAGCAATGGCGGTACATGCTTCAGTCTCAAGATTTCACCAAGCTTTTTCTGACCAGGTCTTCGGCACGTCCACGTCTCTTATTCGTCATGATAGGTTTCAGAGACGGTGAGCTGAACTTCTTTTCTTTGCCGCATCCAAAAAATTCATATGAAAAGTTGTCATCTCTTGTAGTTGCCTCAGCTTCAGTAGCCGCCGAATTTCATATCAATTTACACATGGCGCTAGAATTTCGTGGACATGCCTCTGGTTTGTTTTTATTCCGCCATAAACCGTCATTCGATACAGTGCATGTGATATGTAACCCTAGTACAGGACAGTGTGTGAGCTTACCTAAACTGAAAAAAAGACAAAAATCTACAAAGCTTTTTGGGGTTTGATCCCATTGACAAGCAATTCAAGGTATTGTTAATGGACAATCCATGTCGCCGTCCAAGGAATCATCATAGAATTATGACATTAGCAACTGGAAAAATGGAATGGAGAAAGATCCAGTGTCCCTTGACCCATCATCCATTGATTGTTAGTGTAGGAATATGCATCAATGGAGTTTTGTATTACATAGCTAAAATTTATGGGACTGTTAGAAGTTCTGATGATGAAAGTTCTGATGAGGAAATTATTTCTAATGTGATAGTTTGTTTCGATGTTAGGTCTGAGAAATTCAAATTTATTGACGCAAAATCATTTCGTTGGTTGTATACTAAATTTGTAAACTATAAAGGTAAACTAGGTGGTATTGATTGGAAGAATAATAATGGCAACTATGCAACTGAGAATGGTGCCATTGAGTTGTATGTTCTAGAGGATGTTGAGAAGCAGGAATGGTCAAAATATGTCTACATTTTGCCGGAGAATGAAATCGTTGAATGGAAACGGGAACCTATATCTATTGTTGGCGTGACTGCTATGGGTGAAATTGTGTTGTCGTCATATTCCTTTAGATATAAGCCGTTTTATGTTTTCTACTTCAATCCTGAAAAGAACACATTCAAAAGTGTTGAAATCCAAGGTTTTGGAGAATACTATGAAGAGGGTGGGTGGGACGCTTACAACAATAAGTTTTTCGCCTTTGTGGACTATGTAGAGGATCTTACGTTTGATGTTAAGAAGATGTTATATGCTGCAACATCATCTAAAGCTCACTTGCGACAAGATCGTCATACAAGTGAGAGCATTAACAATTTTGATGCTCTTTGTCTTATAGATGATGATAATTGTATCAAAAGCTATTTTAATTACTTTACTTACTTTGCAGGTAAACTAAAAGCTCTATTTAAATACATATGGTATTCTCGATCGAGAGAAGAACTCATATTGTATGAGAACCGTGGCTGAAGTTGTCTAGACAATAGTTATAAAGATATGTTATTTTCATCTAACATGTTTCATTGTGAGCTATGTCATTTGTTGGCTTATCGTATTTGAGTTTTCTTGTAATGATTAATTAAAGATTCTTTTAAAACCTCTAGTACTATTCTTATTTCTTTCTCCATATGCTTTGTTTTTTGCTTTCATTTTTTTTTTCGGGATAAGGATTACAAATAATTTTTCAGATATTCAGAATTTATATCACATAAGGTTTCAATGTTACAGACATCATCTATCACTCTACATTTCTTGTAGAATCCTCCTTAAGAATCTTATATAGTGAGTAACAAAAATCTAATGGAGGAATGTCTGACATTAATGAAGAGAAAAGAGACTCCATACGAGATTTGTAAAACGCTTCTGAGTTAAAGTTTCTTTTCTCGGTTTGAGAAAACTGTTATAACGCGGTCAAGAATCACTACATTGAGAGTGAGAGCATATCAGATTCATACTCTTTTACTCAGCTGAGAGAGAGAGAGAATGAAAAATGACGAACAAAGACTTTTGTAACATCGATCTACTATGTTTTGTTCTGTCCTCTGCAATTACCATATACAACCCACTTTATATTGGTCTAGCATCATTACTGCTTAACCAGTAACCTGAAGTCAATGATGCATTTGACCACTTTTGTCTATAACTTACCAATGCCACCACAAAAACGGAATCAGAATGATTTCAATCAACAAACCAAAACATCCATTGAACTTTGTTTTACTAAATGTTAATGAGATATTTACATGCAATGTAATCTCCTGAATCGACAACAATAAGGACACTAATTAAGAAATCAAGAAAAGTTTTCTCTTTATTTCTTTTACCGGAAAAACAGTCAAACATACACCTAAAGTTTTATTACTTTTTTTTACCCAAAATTTATTTCTTTTCTAAAACGGGTTTTCTTGAAATTTAAGATATTTACTAATTTCACTAAGGATGTTTTGTGAATTAATCAGCTTTCCCAGAAACACACATTCGTTAAGGATGTTTTGTGATTTACTAATTTCACTAAGAACGTATGTATAAATACTGCAAGCCAAAAAATAAAATAAAAATCCTAATTCTAGAATCTAGAAATAAATCCTAAAACGAAAAGTCAAGCTAAAATATCTTCTAATAAAAATCTAAATTACAAACACAAAAACTGAAAAGTCTGTGATAATAATCTCATCTCTCATCTACGCTAGTACTATTATAAATAGGAAAGAAATTCACAACACACAGTACAAGAAGAAAAGTCCAAACTTTCCTTCTCTCTCTCCATTTCTCTCTCACCACTCCTCAATTTTAATTGATCTGAAAAGAAAAATGGCGGAGAAGCAATTGTGGTCGTCACACGTTCTGGGCTTGTCTGTATTGGTGGTGTTGTCATGTTGTGTGAGTTACAGTCTCTGTAAAGAGATCCACACCTATACGCTCACGAGAGGAAACTTATCTGTCACCTTCACTAACTATGGTGCTGTCATGACCTCTCTTCTTCTCCCCGACAGACATGGTCTCTCTCTCCCTCTCTTCTGTATCTCTCTTCTCTTTTCCTGATTTAGATCTGATTTTTTTGTTCTCCTTGTAAATGATTTAGGAAAGCAAGACGATGTTGTTCTTGGATTTGATTCTGTTGATAGTTACAAGGTAATTTCATCTTCTTTTTAACCATTCCTTTCAATTTGAATTTAGTTTTTACAAATTGTCACTTTTTGTCAAAATCTTGATTTGTGGTTTGTGGATCATAGAACGAAAAAGGGCTCAAAGCTCAAGAGCATCTTCTTTATGAATGTCACGTTCTCCACTATCCACTAACTACAAAGTTCAATTCTTTTATAATTAAACTTTATAACTATCACAAGTCAGTCATAACTCACAACACACCCCACGTGATGCTATAGACGTTATGTCATTAATTTCAGTAATAATAATATAATTTTCGTTTCTGGATTTTTTTTTATGTTTTTTACACAGAATGACACAAGTTATTTTGGGGCAATTGTGGGAAGAGTAGCCAATAGAATCGGAGGTGCTAAGTTCGAGCTGAATGGTCAACTTTACAAAACCGATCCCAACGAAGGCCGTAACACTCTCCATGGTACTTTATTTATTAAATCTCCTTTTTCATAATTCATTGATTTGAATTTTCTTTTTGTATTTATAAGTGTTATTAATGTGTTAATTCAGGTGGCTCAAAGGGATTCAGCGATGTGATTTGGTCAGTCGAAAACTATGTTCCCAATAGCCACATTACTTTCAAATATGATAGCTTCGACGGTGAAGAAGGTAAAATATTTGTGAAATTCAAAGTCAAAAGTGAATTTACAAGTGTGATTGTTTTAAAATGGATCCAAATTTCCAAATGTAATAATTTAATAAATTTCATAGGTTTCCCCGGAGATGTGACGGTGAAAGTGACGTACATGTTGATCGGAGTAAACAAACTCGCTCTGAAAATGGAGGCAAAGCCACTCAACAAACCCACACCGATCAACTTGGCACTCCACACATACTGGAACCTCCGCGGCCACAACTCCGGCGACATCCTCTCCCACAAAATCCAACTCCTCGCCGGGAAAATCACTCCCGTCGACGAAAAACTCATCCCCACCGGCGAAATCACCTCAATCGAAGGAACTCCTTACGATTTCCTCGAGCCACGCGAGATCGGAAGCCGGATCAAGGAATTACCCGGCGGTTACGACATCAACTACGTGATCGACGGAATCGCAGGGAAGCACCTGAGGAAAACGGCGGTCGTTTCCGAGAAAGTCACCGGGAGGAAGATGGAGCTGTGGACGAATCAGCCCGGTGTTCAGCTGTACACGAGTAATATGCTGACGCGTGTCGTCGGAAAAGGGAAAGCGGTTTACGATAAATACGGAGGGCTGTGTCTGGAGACGCAAGGCTTCCCGGATTCGGTGAACCACAAGAATTTTCCGTCGCAGATTGTGAATCCCGGCGAGAGTTATTTGCATGTTATGCTCTTCAGGTTCACTGCTCATTAACTTGGGTTTAATGTATCCGATTAATAATATTGGGGCTCACTGCTTCATTTTTGTTAACTTCGGGGACTCGATTAATAATAATTTACCGAACTAATCAAGTTTCCGAAATTTGATACTGTTGGGTTAAATTAGGCCCAACGTAGATTGTAGATCATATAAACCTAAAACCCTAACTTGTGAGTCACACAAGTGAAACCGAACTTGTCACCGCGTTTCTAGTCTCTCCCAGCCATGGAAGCAAAGAAGAAGAAGGTTACAAAGGGAAGCAACTTCTGCTCAAACTCTCTTCCTGTTGATCTCATGATAGAGATATTCAGACGATTGCCGCTGAAAACCCTAACGAGACTCATTTCCGTATCTAAGCTATGGGCTTCAGTCGTCCGCAATCGAGATTTCATGAATTTGTTCTTGAAGGAGTCCTTTAATAAACCGAGAGGTCTCGTCTTGATGTTCAGAGAATATCCTGTTTCAAACTTGTCATCGGAACACCCAAGATTTGAAACACACGAATCATCTCCTTCTAATGCTTCTTTAGCCACTTACCACGTGACTTGCCTCGCAAGGCAAGACACGTTTATTGCTCCTTCCTCTGTTCACGGTTTGATTTGCTATAGATATGGCTCTACACTCGGGATATATAACCCGTGCACTAGACGATCCATTACATTGCCCAAACTCAATTCAGAGAGAACGGTATTGAACCAAGACTTAGGGTTTGATCCCATCGACAATGATTATAAAGTGTTGTCCGTCACGAGAGCAGCCACTAAGCCAAAAGGCAACACACGAGCTTTAGCTAAGGAAATGTGGGTTTTGACATTGGGAAGTGAGATTTCTTGGAAGAGGTTTAACCAAGAATATATTCCACGTCACTCTCCTATAAGTCAAGACTTGTGCATCAATGGTGTTTTGTATTATCGAGCAGTTACTGGCTCAAAACTAAAGAACTCAGCCATCATGAGTTTTGACGTCAGATCGGAGAGACTCAATCTTATCAAAGCCGAGAAACTTGATATTACCATAAGACCTCGCAAATTTCGCAATTTCTCAAAGCTGACGTGTTATCTTCTTTGAAATAAAATCCGTTGGTGACATTGTTTTGTGGGTTTTAGAAGATGCTGCTAGAGAGGAATGGTCAAGGAAGGCTTTTGATTTGCCTGCTTTACCACAAGAGCCGTGTCTCTATTCGTATCAGAAGTTTCACAGCACTGACACTAACACAGGTGAGATTATTTTCTCGGGTACGGGATCAAAACCAGATTATGTTGCCTATTTTGATGTGAAGAAAAATCGGTCGAGAAAAGTTTACATAGAAGGAAAAGTGTGTAAATGTCGTGATTCAGAGTCTCTCTCCTCTGGTCAAGTTGAGAGTCTCATGTTTTTGTAAGAGTTATTGTTTTTGTTCATTAACAGAAGAAAGGATCATCATGTTCGACTCTTGTTCTTCGAAGTTTTCATGATTTAGTAATATAGAAAATCTTAAATTATCCTTGTAAAATCAGATATATTTTTGTTTTGGTACTATCAACTTTAATCGGAATCTAAAGAGCAGCTTCTCAGACAAAAAGAGAATCTTCTCTGTACTCACTTCACTTGAACCAAACTCTAGACTTACAAAACATTGTCTCAGTAGGTCCAATTTCCAAATCTTTATAGATTATTTTCATAAGCAAAGTTCCAAAAATTTCAAGAGTGATTCCAGACGAAAACATAAAAACGGCTTAAGTTTTTTTCTTAAATGCCTCATAAACGTAGACCACAACTCGAAGACCATCGATGTCCATAAGAATAAAGCTCAGAAACTATAAAATTCTATAAAAATGACCGCAAATAGTAATATTTTGCATAGCAAAGCGGGAAAAATGTCAAAATAATCCTGAACTTTCAAATTTAGGCCAAATAAATCATGAACTCTCTCTTTAAAGTATTAAACCTCTATTCTGTTTGACTTTTTATTTTAATCATAAACTTTGTTTGACTAAGCCAAAAGAGGCACGACGTTAATTGGCCTAACATAACGTTTTAACTCTGTTAATTCTCATCTTAAACGTCGTTTCCATGTTTTCCCCTAAAACCTCAAATTAAAACCAGAAACCCTTAAATCCGAATTGGCATCTGTCGTCAACGATTTCTCTCCTATAGCCAGCCTCTCTCGCCATTGCTTTCTCTCCATTCCCAAATCGATTTCAGGAATCCTAGAAATCGATTTCTCTCTTTTTATCTCTGTATCCTCAATTCAAAAATGCCGCCAAAGAAAGGAAGAAACAAAAAAACTCTAAAGCATAAACGAACTGAAGCAGAAGATGAAGAACATGAACGTGAGGTTGTAAGTGGAGATGACTGCGAGGTCGTCGGTGATGAGGACTGTGATGAGGTTGGAAACGAAGCTGCTGATGAGGAAGAGGATGGAAACAATTTAGGAGTCCAAGAAGAAGGGTGCCAAGACTTATGTGTACACTTCGGAGAGGCTGCGAGGGATGAGGAAGTTGGAAGTGATGCAGACAGTGGAGATGATATTTGGAATGATGATAGGATTCCCGATCCTTTGTCATCAGAAGACGAAGACGACGAAGAAGAGTCAGCGCGTAGAGAGACTGAAGATCCTGATGAGCTGTTAGCATAGGGTAAAACTTATGATTCACCTGAGGATTTCAAGCTTGCAGTTTTAAGGTATTCTCTTAAAACTAGATATGATGTTAAGCTTTATCGATCACAAGCTATGAAGATTGGTGCAAAGTGTTCTGATACCGATGTCAATTGCCAATGGAGAGTTTATTGCTCGTATGAAAAGAGAAAACATAAGATGCAGATAAAGGTCTATGTGAATGAGCATATATGTGTTAGATCTGGTTACTCTAAGATGTTGAAGCGAGCTACAATTGCGTGGTTATTTTCAGAAAGGTTGAGAATCAATCCAAAAATCACAAAAGAAGAAATGGCTGCTGAGATAAAGAGAGAATACAATCTGGAGGTAACTGATGACCAATGTGCAAAGGCGAAGTCAAAACTGATTAAAGAAAAGAAAGCTAGTCATGAAGCCCACTTTTCACGAATCTGGGATTACCAGGCTGAGATATTTCAGAGTAACAAAGAGTCTAAATTTGAGATAGAGACTATTCCAGGGGCAACTATCGGCAGCAAGCAAAGGTTTTATCGTCTATATGTTTGTTTTAATTCACAAGTTTTGGCTTGGAAAGAGACATGTAGACCAATCATAGGATTAGATGGAGCTTTTTTGAAATGGGATATAAAAGGTCATCTATTAGCTGCTGTTGGAAGAGATGGAGATAATAGAATAGTTCCTATTTCTTGGGCAGTAGTTGAGATAGAGAATGATACTAATTGGGACTGGTTTGTTAGTCATCTCTCTCAAAATCTAGGTCTTGGTGATGGAAGAAACGTAGCAATCATATCAGATAAACAAAAGGTTCGTATTACATATTTCTTTCTCTTATTTTGTCACGTCTCTCTCTCTCTCTCTCTCTCTCTCTCTCTCTCTCTCTCTCTCTCTTTTTTATAAACTGAAGCTTGTTTTGCAGGGTTTGGTCAAAGCTGTCCACAATTTACTTCCACAAGCTGAACATCGACAATGTGCTAGACACATTCTAGATAACTGGAAAAGAGATAGCCATGACAAGGAACTAGAGCGCATGTTTTGGAAGATAGCACGCAGCTACACAATGGGAGAATATGCTGATAATTTGGAAGAGTTGAAAAGGTACAATCCTAATGCTCTTGCTTCTCTGCATAAAACGAATCCTCCAACATGGTCTAGAGCGTTTTTTAAGATAGGTTCGTACTGCGATGATAACCTGAACAACCTTAATGAGTCTTTTAATAAGACCATTCGCCAAGCAAGGAAAAAACCTTTACTGGATTTGTTAGAGGATATTAGGAGACAGTGTATGGTGCGTAATGCAAAGAGGTCTATTGTTGCTGAGAGATTGAAGACAAGATTTACGAAGAGAGCACATGCTGAGATAGAAAAGATGATAAAGGGGTCGCAGCATTGCACCATATACATGGCAAGAAATAATTTATATGAGGTTGAGCTGAATCGTACTAATTATCGTGTGGATATGAATGAGCACACATGTGGTTGTAGGAAGTGGCAGATGGTTGGTATACCTTGTGTTCATGCTGCATGTGTTATCATAAAAAGAAAAGAGAAGGTTCAAGATTATGTGCATGAGTATTACACAACAATAATGTGGCGGAAAACATATAAGGATGGTATTGAGCCTGTCCAAGGCATGCAGTTGTGGCCTAGATTGAATAAGTTACCTGTTCTGCCACCACCATGGAGAAAAGGCAACCCTGGAAGACCTAGTAACTATGCTAGGAAGAAAGGAAAATATGAAACTTCTTCCTCCTCAAATAATACCAAGTTAACACGTTTGTTGAGAGTCATAACATGTTCAAATTGTAAGGAAGAAGGGCACAATAAGGCTTCTTGTACAAATGTGAGTGTGGAGAGTCAACCAAAAAGACCAAGGGGCCGACCAAGAAAATATCAGGTTTCTGTCAAACCTTTTTTATTTAATGCATTCAAATAACATGGATTCACTGAAGTATAACATATTCATGGTTTTAATGTTAATACATGTCAAGCAGGAAGGATTGACAGAAGGAGTCGGATCACAAAGACAATGTGTTTCACAAAAACAGGGAGAAGGACTACAAAGTCAAGATGTTTCACAAGGAGAAGGATCGCAGAGACAAGAAGAAGGATTATAAGGCTGGAGAGCATGGTTTGATTGATTGTATAAACTAAGCCTGAGCATGAAAGGATTTATTTTGATTTCTGTTACTTTTCATTTGGATTTATGAAAGAAGGTATTTTGCTTCAAAATGCTTGGTCGTATGAAATTATGTAGGTTTGCTTTGACTATGATGTATTTGGTTTGCTGCAAAAATCCATTTAACTTTGGTGTGCTTGGTATGTTATTGGTCCGATTTAAGAATTTTAATGGAAAGTGAAACGACGTCGTTTCAATTGGACGTCGAACTAACGGCGTTGAACAAACTCTGTTAAGCCATTTAACCTCATGCCTTTTTTGGCTTAGTCAAACAAAGTTTATGATTAAAATAAAAAGTCAAACAAAATAGAGGTTTAATACTTTAAAGAGAGAGTTCATGATTTATTTGGCCTAAATTTGAAAGTTCAGGATTATTTTGACATTTTTCCCATAGCAAAGCCCAATTTTATAAAGTTTTTATTGCATAGTAATAAAAATACAGAAACTATAAAATTCTTCACCAAAATAGCCACGAGTTTCTAAGGAACATGGATGAGCAGCCAGGAAACCAACTTTCATCAAGAGTAGTTTAATAAATAAATAAAAAGCAAAAGAAGCTAGATTCGTGAAAAGAGTCTGATAGAGATATTGGAGCTTGGGATATGAACTTTGGTGACACATGTTTCTTTGACTTTGAGTTTGACAATCAGTCAAAAGTTGAAAGACGATGTACCTCGGTGCGTGAATGTAATAATCTTCTTAGGTATGTTTGTGTCAATGTCCCTAATGCAAGCCAAACTCACATTATAAGCTCCATCTGCGAATTTCATTTCAGGATCACCACCACCAAGAACAACTTCCTCCTTGAAAACCTCAAAACAATCGAGCTGGCCACCAACACTGATTTGGCTCTTAAACCCTTGCTTGAGACATTTAATCACACCATCTTTCAACACATTAACAGGTTCCCTCTTAACCAGCCAAATCCCTTCAAAAACCGAAAACTTCTCAGACTTTCCATGACCTCATCATCTTGAATATACTTTAACCAAATCAAGCCTTTAGACATATGCAGCATCCCACTACTCATTTGATCCTCCATATACTCAGTGAGCCTACAACTACCCATACCCAAAAACGACCTCATAGTCCTATTACGTTCCGGAACGTTTCTAAAACTGGTGTCGAGATCCTTGAACATAACTAAACAAGCCATCTGGTGAAACCTACCTAACATAACTGCAGCTTCCTTAGCCAAAAAAGTTTTTTCTCTTACTCCTCCAGCATCATTCCCACTCAAAGCAGGGTAGACCAAATCACATTGGCTAACAACAGCTGGTAAACCAACAACCTCAAGATACCTGTTCTGCCTTAGCGAGCACGCTATTATCATTGCTGACTCCAACTCTTCCTCTAGCCAAAACTGATCAGCGTAGGTAATCAGTGAAGCCATTACCTGCTGATGTGACACCACAACATTACGGTAATGTTTCACCGGCGAGGAACCAACTAAGTAGATAACATCACCATCAGCTGGTATCTTAACATGATCCACACCGCCAAAGAGTGGGCTCGGGTACTGCTGACACATTGCATACAATATCAGGCTATATGCTGGATCCTCCTCATGCTTGGCGTACACGTAAGCCGTGTTGCTTCTGAAACTCATTGCGGCCAAAAGATCCTTCACTTTATAATCTAGAGTTTGGAGATCAGCTCTCGCGTATGTCTTTTTCCCACTCTCAAGATGGTCTAAGTAGATCAAGCATCCTTTGACCAATCTCGTTAGCTTGCACTGCACGTATGCACCGGACCGAAACAATGCAACTAACCTATAAGCATCAGATCTTGTCACATTCCTTGTGTATATACAAGTCATGTCAACAAATCTATCTAGATCCCTTACGATGCCTTCTTCGAGTATCTTCCTCAAATCGTCTGGTATATGCACCTTTCTTGGCTGACCAGTATACAATCTGGCCACTACCCAGTTAACTTTGAAAGGTAGTTCCACACAGTCTGCTTCGCCATACAGTGCTTTACCTAACAAGTTGGTGCTAAGAGTGTAGTCGAGGATGAAAGTATCTTTTGCTAAACAACTGCTCTCTACTCCAGCGATACTATGTACATAACGGCAGGTGTTTGCTAGAGCATACATCGGTTTAGAGGTATCTATCATGTTGCGATTCAAATCAGTGTACCTTACTTCACGAATACCTTCATACGCAGCCTTCGTTAGTTTATATCCTATAGCATTGTCCCTGAGAAAGGCTGCACACGCATCAAGGTCGATGTTCTTATAGGGGTCCATACTCGATATACTTGAGATAAGACAAACTCTGTAGAGAGTCAAGCTTGCAATCGCAGGTAAGCCAAAAAAATGCGAAAAATGGCAAATATATCAAGAGGAGGTAGAGGAAGACGAGGGGTTGAAGAAGCAGAAGGGACGGTCAAGAGTCTCTGTTTAAATTAATTTTGGGGAAAATAAACTCAACAGTTACCCATGCAAGTCATTTATTGATGAGAGAGTGTTATGGTTAAATTCTGATTAATGTTAAACAGATTTAACTAAGAAAATTGGAAGACTGTAGAGTGTTAATATCGTCTTTAATCGGAATGTTAACTAGAATCTTCTCTATACACACTTTGAACCAAACTCTATAAACTTCAAGAGACTTGTAAAACATTGTTCTCAGTAGGTCCAATTTCCAAATCTTTTGTAGATTATTTTCACAAGCAAAGTTCCAAATATTTCAAGAGTGATTCCAGACGAAAACATAAAAGCGGGTTAAGTTTTTTTTTTTTTTAAATGCACTAAGGAGCAGAGTTGGTAGTGGAGGTCTTCTTGAAATCGATCTTGTCGACTTTAACTTCTCCGTCGATGAGCTCATAGACATAGACCACAACTCGAAGACCATCGATGTCCATAAGAACAAAGCTCGGGTTAACATCTTGGTTTATGCTGCTGTAAGCTCCGGTTGCAGAGCCTGGGTTTATCACGACACCTCCCTCGTGTTTGTAGGCTGTGAACTGGTGGGTATGGCCTGTTACAAGTATGTCCACGTCGAGTTGTCTCTGAAGCATAGCTAGTGAGTCTAGATCACCCCATGGGATCACCTGTATAACAATTAGAGAAGCTCTTTTCAATATAACTGCATTTAGCCAACACCAACAAATTCTTTAACTTAACTAACCAGAACTTCCTAAGGAACATAGAGCCAGGAGACCAATTTTCAAGACGACAAGACTCTTGTAGAGAGAGGAACAAAGCTAAAGGAGCTCTCTCCTTCATAGTTTAGCGTAAAACATTGACATAGAAAATCAACAATGCTGAACTTTTTCAAATCCTAGAATTTCCCCGTTTACTATAAGGATTGTACAAATTAGAGGCATCTAGACAAAAGCAAATTTATCATTCTTTACCATATGCAACGTAAAGAGTAGAGGATAGATATTTGAGGTGATGAATATTTTCAGTCCGAGCCTGATCACAATATCATGCAAAAAAAGCAATAAGCGAGCAAACTTTGAAACTCGTTGGTATGGACACACTCACACACACCAGCAATTCAATGAGGCAAAGTTCAGTGTTCTAGTCTGGAAAATCCGATAAAGAGATGAGGTATGACACAAAAGAGTATTCATATGCTGCTAATGCTAGAATCTAACTCGTAAAGATCATCAGGAAAAGAGCAAGAGAAGAAAGACTGAACCTGGTGGCCGTGGCACAGTCCCAGCTTGAATTGCCCGATAGTCAAGGTTTTGTTCTCAGGGTATCTTGCATCTTCGTCAAACTCCCCTCGAACTATATGCAAATCAGGGCAGATAGTCTTCAAGTAGTCGTGGATTTCCTAAAAACAGTCAAAAGATGCTAAGCTTATCACAAACATGAACCAGGAAAGACTTCACAGCATAAGCACAAACAAATCAGGCAAGTCAACAGAAGGAAAGCAAAGCACACATTTCCCACCAACTAAAATAGCATCACTGAATTCTCATCAATGATGACTGCTGAGTTTATCACTTTACAATTCCATCGTCACAAGCAAATCTCAAACTAACGCTGATCAAACCGGAAACTGTCACTGAATTCCTCTTTCCATTTCCCCTTTTCTAATTTCCAGTAACTCTCCCACAACCAAGTAAGAAGGTGATTCTGAACAACACGATACATGACAAACTTAGAGCAGGTTGCATCTGATAAAATTCATCATATATAACTTGATTTTAGAGCCTATTCTCGCTCTGAATCCTCTTTTCTTTCTCATATGTAAGTATACCAATAACAATAACATCAGCAGAATGATCAGAAAAGGACATTCAAGGAGCAAAATAGAGTTAAAGGTTTGAGAAAAACCCTACTTTTATGCAGAGATTTCCAGTGCAGATGATGTGTTGAATCTTCCCAGGGACAAGCATTGATTTGAACTTCGGGGGTAGATCAGCCGCTCTGTGGGGTACATGGAGATCCCCCAACGCCAATACCAGCACCATTTCAAACTTTCCCGAGAAAATAAACCCTTCGACCCGATTGAAATCTGGACAAAGCTCTGGGGATCCCGGAAAGTTAAGGAAATGATCGAGCTTACGAGATCACTCGGGCTCAAAGATATCTCTAAACGAGATTGGAGATTTGAAATTACCAGCTGGGTTTTCAGTTTGATTCGTGGGAATCTCAGAGATCGCCCATGGAAGAAGATGCTTTCTCTTTTTTTCTTCTCTTCTAGCTCTGATGATCGCTCCTCTCGTGTTTGTTTGACTGCCTTTCTCAGAAAACTAGACGACGTCGTTCGACATTAACCGGTACGTAAAATTAAAACCGAGTCAACCGACAATAAACCGAATATTCATTGAATAATATGTATGTTGTCTGATATATCAGATTTAGTCCCACATAAAATTTTGCCTCAAATTTAGCCCCTACATTTTTACAGTAATCTATAACTACATTCAACTGACTTTTTATAGCAGAGAGCAACAATCTACGACCCACTTATCATTCTCCCCAAGCAAGGAGCCATTCAAAGAAGTTTCCATGATTTTTACTAAGCATAATGGCTCATTAACAGAAACCTGAAACAATCAACACAAGTTTCACCGATTCCGGTTTAATAATGCAAAACTTACTCTGTTGAATTTCAGGGGAGTGGTTAAACTTAGATAGCCAGGCACTTCAAGCAAATAGGTGGTCCAAATATTTCTGATGTATACACAATCAATGGACCATTATATAACTGCTCAGCTAAAGGTATTATGTTGCAGGCATCTTAGAATACGAACCATTAACTCAAAAACATATAATCAAGAAACATCTAATAACACCATGGTTAGCAATGGAACAAAGCTTGTTGTTTTCAAAGCTTCCTCATACATATACCGCGAGTCGTAACAGGAGTGTGGTTCCTGCTCTGCCACTTGGAAGTACACACCACCTGGGGTTAAAGAATGGCTTGGCTTGTTTTGGATGGAGAAAAGGCCTGAAGAGAAGCTTCTCCCTCCACCTGCAGATTTACCCAAATGTTGAAATCCTGTTTCAAGTCCCATCATTTACACTCCTGACGAGAGAGAATTATTCTGCACTTGCACAACTTTAGCTTAAATCTGAATCTTCTTCTTTCTTGCTCCACCCCAATTTCCTCCCCACAACAACATTTCGTTCCAACGCATCACCAAGTGCCTACAAGTTTGAAATAACACAAAAAGTTTCGAGCTTTTCCAGGATGAAGTATCAGTATCCATCAAACATAGTTAGATAGAAACATTAATTCAAGCGTATATCTTCAAGAGCCAGAGTCTTAAGCAACTTCATGTTCAAACGTCTTCAAGAAGTAGTAATTCACATATATAGATATATGAAGCAAAAGGGAGAGAACCGAAACAGCAAATATTTTTAGCTGCAGATAAAATAGATTAACAAGTATCATCATAAAGAGTTCCCCCAAAATGATTTCACAATTCGATTCCTCGTGGAAGTCACAGAGTATCATCTTTAGCTACACTGACCCGAAATTCAGAAGATTTATCAAAACCCCAAAGCTCTAATCTTCAACTATAATGGCAAAGGAACCAACTTTCAACTACCTAATTCTCTTTTGCTCTACTCTTCTTCTCCACAGAATGCATCTCTTTTCCACTCTTCCGCTTCTTCTTTTTCTCTTTTCTCCTCTCCTTTTCGTTTTCAACTTCCACTCCCACAGATTTCTCACAAGTTTTCAGCTTTTCCTTCACCTTCCCAACAACAACACTTTCATCATCTTCAATGCTCTCCTCACTCTTCTTCTTCTTCTTCCTTTCTTCGTTTATCTCACCCTTCAAATCCTGATTCCGCTCATGAGTAACATCAGAACCAATCTGCGTCTCTTTCAAAGGAGACGATTTCAGCTCGCCGTGGAAGCTCCTCAGCTCGCTAAATGCTGCGGAGGCGCGTCGGAGGTACGCGCCGACGTCTTGCGACGCGCCGTTCTTTGAGGAGACGAAACTAGAGAGAATCGTGGCCGCCTTTGGGAGGGAGATGGGTTCTGCGGCGATGACTCCTCCGGTGACTGTCTTCATCGGACTTCTTTTTTAGTGTTAGGTTTAAAGAGAGACAGTATAATTAAATAATTAATCGAATATTGTAAAATTACCCCAAATTTAATAATCGCTTCAAATCAAACCCAAATTGTTTTCTTGATGATATGATTTGTTTATTGCATTGAGATCCTCCGTATTAAGTCTAATTACTGTAAACCTTTTAGTTTAGTAGAGAGTCACTCTAATCTAATCACTAACGGAACAAAAAAGGAAATCAGGAAGAAGAATGGAAATTTCCTTTCTTCGGAACTTACATCCCACGCAACGTAGATTAGATTTATTTAACACTGCCAAAGACGGCTTCACATATACAATCACACTTCCAAACCCTAACACACAACAAGCTTATTTCCTTTTGTTTCGACTTGTAGTGAGAGATTTTCAGAGAGAGAGACAGAGAGATTTTCAAAGCAACAATACGATGAAGCAAAACCAAGTCTTCGCCGCGAGATTATCTCCGATAATCATGAAGATCGTGAAAAAAAAGCTTCCTTTGAAGAAGAAGATAATGAAGAAGAAGAAGAAGAGTATTAGTATCTCTGATTCGTCGTCTTGGGTCAAATCGCGGTTGCTCGGAAGAGGAGCTTACGGTTCGGTTTATCTGGCCAAGAGCAAAACCGACCAAACAGAGCGAGCCCTCAAATCGGCAGAGTTTTCACGCGCTACAAGCCTCATGGAGGAAGCGAAGATCTTAATCAGTTTGAATTCTTCATACGTCGTCCGTTGCTACGACGCCGAGATCGTGAGGGAAGAGAACGATATGCAGTACAATTTGGTTCTCGAGTATTGCTCAGGGAAAACGATCGCCGACTTGATCGAGGACAATCACGGGGAGTTGCTTGAGTCTGAAGTTAAGCAGTTGGCTAGAGATATCGTGTTAGGTCTCAGATACATACATGCCCGTGACGTAATTCACTGCGATATCAAGCCGGACAACCTCTTGCTCTGCCCTGTCGATGACGGCTACGTGGCAAAGATAGGTGATTTCGGTTTAGCGATGGAGAAAGGGTCGATGGAGTACGGTGACGGGTACGGCCACAAGAGAGGCACGACAAGATACATGTCGCCTGAGATGATGAGCCATGGGATGGTTGATTATAAAGCGGACGTGTGGGCGTTTGGATGTTCTGTTCTGGAGATGTTGAGCGGAGAATCAGTTTGGGGAGAACATGGCGATCTCTGCTCTGATGATTGGGCCAATCTCATTGGTCACAGCGATCTCATGCCTCGTCAACCAGTTTGGTTGTCTACTCAAGCTAAAGACTTTTTGAGCAAGTGCTTGGAGAGAGACGTTCACAAGAGGTGGTCCAGTTATAACCTCTCCAACCATCCCTTTGTTGCGCTTTGAGGAAGATTAAGAAAAGAAGACGAAGATAAACTAATTGATGCTTTTTTTTATGTCAATTTAATCGGATTGTTCTTGCAAACTCTTTGTAACGATTCTGTGTTCTTCTGGTATATGAAACTTCGTATAATTGGTAAAAGTCTATATTTGAATCATAATTGCAGAATGTAAAAAAGATCCAACTTTGTTTCAGTAACAATGTGTAATAAGACTTTGACTAATTCACAAACCTTTGATGTTTCTATGCACAAATGTAATGCCTTTGTATCAATGTAATGTTGTAATCTGAAGCTGAGAGGCATCACTTGGCTCAACCAAGACGACCTGTCTAACGAAAGCTCTTCTCCACCAAACCTCAAAAGCTCTTTCAACGTTTGGACATTCATCTCCTTTGCTCATTAACCGATCAAACCACTACATCAGAACCACCTGTTGCTGACTCAACGACAATGTCAGTATCATCTGGCTGAGTCCATCCTCCACAACTTTCCAATCCATTGAAGACCTTCTCATCCAACCAAAATCATCGTACATGGCCTCCAACCATGTCTTGAGAACCGTAAACCGAGCTTCCCTCTTCACCAAGATCTTTCCTTTACCAATTCCAACGCAGATCCGTGCAGTGATCTTGCTTATCTCGTGTCTGTACTTTGCAGGAATCTTGGAATGGAGATTCGCTAGCTCCTTCTGCTCCCCCCACAGCTGCACAAACTCCTCGCAGATCTTCTTCTCGATTAGTATATCGACTATCCAAAGCAAGTTACCAGCTTCTCTAGAGATCTCTCCAACCAAATCACCAGGATCATTCATGTTGGGATGTGACTTCTGATAAGCAGAGGATAAGTGAGAGGAGACACATCGGTGACACAGACTGTACAGCATTTCTTTAGACACATCATCATGATCAGCTCCTTCTTCTCTAATCAACCCAAAGATCACAGCTTTCATCATCTAATCATCCTTGAGATTCCAATTCAAGCCTATAGTCTATCTACCAGAATCAAATTCACATTATACAAGAGGAGGGAATCGAGTCAGTTACAAATGTTACCTTAAGCAAAGCCAAGACTTTGAAGACATTTTCACCAATCAGCTTGTTCTTGAGATCATCGCAATACATCAACACCACAGTCTCTACATACGTCTCAACATCATCACACTCCACAATGTGAGGCTGAGAGACGCCATTCTCTCTTCGAGACTTCATCTTCTCCATGAAAAACTTGCTCTTCTCTGAAACACCTTCTTGTGCACATCCATGGTCGCTCTGTGCCCGTCTCTGCCAACAAGAGTCAGCTTCGCGTCGCCAGGTCCCACGCCGTTCTTGAAATCCGCCAAGATCTTGGCCACACGGGCGTGGTATTTCCTCCGAGGCTCGTCTTGGTATCTTCTGGTCTCGCGGTTGTGCTCGTCGGAGATCATGTCGAGAAGGGTCGGGTTTGAGTGACGCGACCGAGTGGAATCGTTCGGCGATGGAGGAGGAGAGGATGGGGGGATGGGGGTTTGGAGAGAGACGTAGTTCTTGAAGGAGAGAAAGAGAGAGGAGGATCAGAGATAAACCCTTGTTTGATCATCGTTGATACTTCTCTTGACGCCATTGAACAGAATTGGTAAAAGAAATTGACAAAAGGTCTGATTTTTCCAGGAAAAGCGGAGACTTTGATTCCCGAGAGAAGAGAAAACAGAGAGCGATAAACCCTTCGCTGGAAGAATAAATTTGTCAGTGAAAATGAAAGATTTTGGATTCAATTGGATCGGAGACAGTGAAAGATTTAGACTCTTCTCAAGGCCTCTCCACGTAAGCAGAATAAGTGGCCAATAAGAACATCAGAGCATGCCACATATGAAAGGAAATTTAGCATATGTGTCTTGAATGTTATCACAGTCTTCTAGACCAATATAGCAACAAATTGACTAAACCGTTCCAAACGCAATCTACACTCTCTGAGATTTACAAAAATTGATGCAATTGTGCAATCTACCAAAAAAGACTAAAAAGTAGTACACTACATGTTCAACTGCATCATGGTAAAATGATTATATGATTTAAGCTCGTACTTGCACAAAATCACGTACTCATGATTTATGCTCCGCCATTTCAATAACAACAAACAACAAAAACTGAAAGAAAATTATATCATTTTACGGTTTTTGAGTTTGAGTTAAACCTTTTGCTTAATGATCCATCATTACATAATACATTTCACAGCTAGCTCATTGCCTCATTCTATCCAATTAATTTGATCATCCCGTGTTATTACCGTCTACCGATCAAAACTTATATTTGACCATGATGATATGAATGTGGACTTTCCTTGTGGATTTTTTGTTAGCTTACGATTGAAAGAGTGATTGTAATCTAGTTAGAAAAACATGAAGAAGATCGTCCTGAAATGAAATTCTACTGCAATTAAAGCATCGACTTCAACAGTTTTGGTATCAATCCAGTAGAAGATATCCTTGACCGTCTAAAGAATCTCAGACCAACAAAGAACCAAGCTTGTGGATGCAGAATCAGAGACGTAGTTTTGTATATTTGGAAAAGGAAAAATGGAGCGATTAAATTTTGTATATTAATATTTGGGCCCTTAATATTTAGAGAAACAGTTGACAACAAAAATAGCTAGAAAGTTGTTTTCAATCCTGTACTTGTTTTTAAAAACATTTTGTACAGCACTTGCCTTGATCTTTCTGTCCAAGCACAAAAAGACCCATAAAGCTTTTGTCAAAATCAAAACGAAAATCGATTAGTTGCCGCCATGTTCTTTCTAATTGTTTAATATGTTATATTGGTATGTATCAAATACAAGCTCACACTAAAAAGAGTTTAATTATGTTCATACATGGTAGAACATTAATTTTAAGAAAATTTCAACTTTAAAACAAACAATATTTGCCCACTGTTGGACAGAAAATAACAATCAATAATGCCCACAAAGGTCGTCAACAGCAGTCTAGGTTTAGAGTTTCCTAGGCAACATGCCCGTTTAATATTATGTTGTGGTGCAAGTGTGGTAATTTCTAAGAGTTGTGCTGTAAGCCTGTAACAAGGAAGTTATTTATAAAACATAGCACAAAGTTCAAGTGGTATAAGACGATGGCAGAAAACATTAAAAAAAAAAAAAGATAAGAAACGTCGATAAACTTGTCGCATATTTTCTATGGCATGTAATTTTAGAGCAGCAACATGCTATATTTTGTTAAAAAATAGACTAACCATAAAAGAAAATTATTACAACATGATGTATTTCACAGTATTTTATCCCTATAACTATCCATCATTTTTTATATCTCATGATCAGTTTTTAACCACACCTTTTCTTAATCGCTAAATCAAAATTTGTTTGTTCAAAATTTAGTCAAACATTCGAACCATGAAAAAAATCTTAAATACAATAGTGGTTTAACGTGTTTGTAAATTGTAACACGCCATCAGCTGATGCCTGATGATGCTCATGAATCGGTTAAATTTCTTTATTTTCTTCGTCAATGAGAATTACTTATATGCTTAGAAGAATGATAACTTAATCAAACACAAATTGCACATAATGTATAGGAAATTTATATTCCGTCGGTAGACATTTCTTAGTCCACTATGAGATTTATTCTACGGTTTAGTTTTAATGTGGAAACTGGAAACTGGAAACTACTGTCACAGAGAAATGTATACACGCGATGATATTTATCCAAATTTGAAATCCAGTTGTAATGTTTCTAGTTGAGTATACTGTAGTTTTTAATTCGAATGTGGATAATTGGATAGGGTCAACCGAGTAAGGTAATGAAACTTTACCGTTTTAACTCTTTCACCAAACCACAGAATGAAACCTTCCCTGAATGAACGAGATATGATTTTATCCATAGATATTTAAACATAAACGATGGTTATCTTATAATAAAATATGCTAAAACAGATTGTGCATTTTTTTTTAAAGAAACCATAATGTTTTTGCACTCATCGTTTATTACTTTATTCATCAAGATTCACCATACATCTCTTTTCTACTATCTTTCTATTTAGGGAAATTGTTTTTTCCTACTAAATCCTATTTCTAAATAATTTTGCATATATGGTTATCATATATTTTAGAAAATCAAAAATGTGATTTTTTCGTAGATAATCATGCGTGTAACAAAAATTCGAATATCCATCCTATTGTCATTTCTTTTGTTGTTGTTCATTATAGTTTTTACTTTTTACTAATTACGTAAAGAGTGAAAAAAAAAAAAGATATAGTTGAGTCTGGTAGTCAGTATCAACTAGAGAATCTCTTGGATTCGTCAAAGACGTACCAAGCTCCGATTAAAACCCCCCCAAAGTTGAAGTCAAAAATCTCTTACAACAACAACCTCTCAGACTCGTTTTTCTTTGTTGTGTTTCTCCTTCTTCTTCTTCGTCTCCAAAATTCTGTGTTGGATTTGCATTTTCTTTCATTTAGTTTCACTGTTCTTGACATAATTCTGCTATGGGCGAGACCGGAAAACACAAATGGTTCTCCTTTCACCACCACCGCTCAGCCTCCGCCACAACTATGCCGCAGCAAAACCCCGGCGAAACTCCGACGGAGTTCCTCTGCCCCATCACCGGATTTCTAATGTCGGATCCCGTCGTCGTCGCCTCGGGTCAGACATTCGAGCGTATCTCCGTCCAGGTGTGCCGGAATCTCGGGTTCGCGCCGAAGCTTCACGACGGAACTCAGCCTGATATATCAACAGTAATCCCCAATCTCGCCATGAAATCAACTATCCTCAGCTGGTGCTCCAGGAACAAACTGGAGCATCCACGACCTCCCGATTACGCTTACGTCGAAGGCGTCGTTCGTGCCCGAATGGACAAGGATCCGGGTAACCGGGTCTCCAAATCGGAGATTCTGCTTCCGGTGGCTGAGAATTCGGCGTTGGATTACGATTCTATGATGGGAGCGATTCGATCTCGGTCAAGGAATTCGATTTCGTCTTCCACTTCCCTTCCGCTTCACCATCCCCGGCCGGTTAGTCACTCGATGGTCTCTCCATCTTACAATCCGTCGTCAGAAGTTTACGCCGGAGTTGAGAATCAAAACCGGATTCACAGCTCCTTCTCTACCTCCGATTACTCCTCTTTTCCTCCGATGACACCGGAGGAAGAAGAGATTTACAACAAATTGGCAAGCGCGAACACAATTGACCACGAGCAAGGTCTGATTCTGCTGAGGAAGACGACGAGATCGAGCGAGAGCGCAAGGATTTCACTCTGCACGGATCGAATCCTCTCCTTGCTCCGGTCACTAATCGTTTCACGGTACAACATCGTCCAGACGAACGCCGCCGCATCGGTGGTCAACCTCTCGCTGGAGAAGCCGAACAAATTGAAGATCGTACGGTCTGGATTCGTTCCTTTATTGGTCGATGTGCTCAAGTCGGGATCAACGGAGGCGCAGGAGCATGTAATCGGAGCTCTGTTTAGCTTAGCGGTTGAGGAGGAGAACAAAATGGTGATCGGAGTTCTCGGAGCTGTGGAGCCGCTACTCCACGCTCTCCGATCATCAGAGAGCGAGAGAGCGCGTCAAGACGCAGCTCTTGCGCTTTACCACCTGTCGTTGATCCCGAACAACCGAGCGAGGCTGGTTCGAGCCGGTGCGGTGCCGATGATGCTGTCAATGGTCAGATCCGGCGAATCGGCGAGCCGGATACTTCTGTTGCTCTGTAATCTCGCGGCTTGTTCGGAAGGGAAAGGAGCGATGCTTGATGGTAACGCGGTGGCGATACTGGTTGGGAAACTTCGGGAAGGTGGGGTTGATTCAGAGGCGGCGCGTGAGAATTGCGTGGGGGCTTTGTTGACGCTAAGTATGGGGAATATGAGGTTTAGAGGATTGGCGAGTGAGGCAGGTGCGGAGGAGATTATGACGGAAATTGTGGAGAGCGAGAGCGGAAGCGAGCGTTTGAAGGAGAAGGCGGCGAAGATTCTGCAGACGATGAGAGGCGGAGAGAGGGATTTTGGAGAAGGTGCGGAGGCGCGTGAGTGGAACCGCATGTTGGAAGCGAGTGGGCTAAGTCGTTCTCAGTTTCAAGGAGGAGGACAAAAAGAAGGTTTCGCTTATTCCTCTCAGTTTTAGCATTATTCAATTTTTTTTTGGTTTTCATTTCTTGTCGGTAAAAATATTTTCTCAAGGATTTTTTTTTTCACTCCTTACAGTTTTTTTGTTTACTATATGCTCTGAAAAAGGGAGTGATTATGATTATTTGGGATTGAATTTGTAATATTTGGTTTGTCTTTTACAATGAAACGACAAAAATGTTAAAGGTTCCTAACTTCCTACGTTTGTGGAGTGGAGAAATGCTCGTGTTTCACTTTTATGTGTTAGGTCGAAGAGGAAGAAAAGTCGTCTCAATTATTGGTGTTTTCTTTTTTTAATATAACAGATTTAGAACAAAAATTTAGTCGTTGGTCAAATAGTTACAGGGTCAACGTTTCAGTTATACACAGAAATAATCTACATTCTGCCTGTGCTTGACGTCATGTGATCCTGTCACCAATATGCGAATCATTATGCTTAACCATATGTCCATACATTACATTTTTATATGGTACATCCTTCTCAACAGAAGTTTCTAAACAATTAAATAGATTTTAATATACTACAAGAAAATGAGCCAATTAAAGGATGATAATTATGGGATAGGAGTGTTCTCATACTTGTAGACTTTTCTTTCTTATTTTATGGTTGAGAACTCCATTGAAATATACTTCAACTGGAGATGTTCTAAGGGCCTGACTGGTTTAACCGCTGCGGTTGCGGTTGCGGGTGCGGGAGTTTGCGGAAGCGGGCGGTTGTGATTAGTAGCGTTATTAAGCGGTTTGTACGACTGGCATAACAATTGAAAATGATGCGTTTGCGGGTTACTTATGACTGGTTCACTTGCGGATGCAATAGCGGTTAAACAATAAATTAATAATATAAACACATTATATAATTATAAAAATATCAAAACTATATTATAATGAAAATTTTAAATTTATGGTTCAACATAATTAAAAAATATATATAAAGAATAATATGTATATAATACTTACATCTATCTTTTAATTTCTATAATTTAAATAAAAAAATGTGATTTTATTTTCAAAATATATATTTAATGTGAAAATTAAATTTATATTACAATTTTATTTATTAGATATATATGTATTAGTATGAAAGAATATTTATCAGAGAATTTTGATTTGTAGAACTTATAAATATATAAGTATTATATGATTTTAATGAATATTGACTAAAAGTACTAATTTTTTATTTATATTGTGATTTTATTATCCAAATCTTATTTTTTAATAAATATTATTATTTATTTTCGGATTTTATATAAGTTTGTGTTTTTTTTTTTTTTTTTATTATCCACCCGCAACCGCAAACGCTTGCGGAAAGGAGCTTTTGATTTTCAGCGGTATTGAGCGGTACAGAGTGGTATAGAGCGATTCAAAGCGGTTGTCGTGATTGTTATAAACCGCCGAAAACCGCTACGAACCGCAAACGCTGCGTTTGCGGGTGGTAGCGGGAGAACCAATCATTCCCTAAGTAATTAGTAACACTTTTTCCACTTTTTTTTTAAGTAACAATAAAAATACCTCCTGTGAAATTTAGAAACCATATATTACTTGAAGTCAAACCATTTCCGGACTGGATAATTATCATTTTTTGCATTGGTTTAATTGATTGATTTTTGTATTTTACAATTGTGTATTATGTTATTTATTTATTTAAATAAAACGATTGCTGCAAAACCGGACCTAATTTTTACACAACACACAACATTCACTACTTATAGTAAACCGGACCACGACCACTATCCATCGACCCATTGCGTTGCGTTTTAAGAAAACCGGACCTAATTTCCACTAAATTTTGTAATCGATTCAAAACAAAACCGTAAACCGATCCAAATATTGCACCGGTCAGTAATTTCCTTACGAGATGAGCAAAGCCCAGAAAAGGAAACGCCTACACAAAGGCGACGGCGACTCAAAAGCTCCGGCCAATAAATCCACCGTCGACGACGGCGATCCATACCCCGCACTTCTTAGACCTACTGCTGAAGAATGTCGAGATGTAAGGGATGCTTTGTTGTCTCTCCATGGGTTCCCTTCTGAGTTCGCCAGTTACCGCCGTCAGAGACTTAGATCAAACTCCGCCGTAGATTGTCACGATACACAATGCACGGTGAAAGTTGAGACATTGAATGAATCGGCGGAGGAGAAGGATGAGAAAGTGGAGAGCGTGCTTGATGGTCTGGTTAAAATTCTTCTCTCACAGAATACAACTGAGGCCAATTCCCAAAGGGCTTTCGCTTCTCTCAAAGCTGCATTTCCGATATGGGAAGATGTAAGTGGATAGTTGAATCCTTAGGTTTAATTGGTCTATAAGGTCCATGAAGATTTGTGAATCATAATTCATAAGGTTAAGGCTTTGTGAAATCATAATTCCTGATGTTGATATGATAATGGCTTAAGTTAAAGAATGCTAAACTTCATTTTCAATTTCTGGTTAAGGCATATATATACATAGTTTCTTTAGATTTTGTCCTGGTTTCAGTTTAAAGCATTAAAGCATGTTCTTGGATAATTTGGAAAATCTGTAACTCTGTAAGCTTAGTTCTCCTCAAGATTTGTTGAAACGTTTCAAGAAAATGCATCTTGACATAATTTAATGGCAAAAACAAAAATTGTGTTGGTCACTAGATTTGTATTTGCTATTCAGAGTCAAGATTGACTTATACTTGGTTTCATTTCCTTATTGAATTTTGTAGTTAATGTTCTTACAGTCACTTAAAATCCATTCTCTTTGTTTGCTTGTTTGTCATCTTGAAGAGTCTTCTTTTGTTGCATCCACTGTAGGTTCTAGCCGCTGAGTCGAAGTTAATTGAGAATGCTATAAGATGTGGAGGATTGGCCCCTAAAAAGGCTGTGTGCATCAAGAACATATTGAACCGTTTGCAGAAGGAAAGAGGTAGATTGTGCTTGGAGTATCTTCGTGGTTTATCGGTAGAAGAAGTAAAAACCGAGCTCTCCCATTTTAAAGGCATAGGACCTAAAACGGTAAAACCCTGATTTTCTTTTTGGATCGTCTCTTATCACTTGGAAAAATAGCTACTGTTGTTCATATGTTTAATGGTCCTATCAATGTGACAATAAGAATCAAGATGAACATCACTGGACATTGACATAAGATCTGGTATCGATGATTGACAGATTTCTTGTGTTCTCATGTTCAATCTCCAGCACGACGATTTTCCGGTGGACACGCATGTGAGTGTTTCCGTAATCCTTGTGTTTGATATTTGTTCATTTCTTTGGATCAAGCGGATTAAAAATGAGATGCAAAACCGACTGAAACAGGTATTTGAGATCGCAAAGGCATTAGGTTGGGTCCCGAAAACAGCAGACAGGAACAAAACCTACGTTCATCTCAACCGCAGGATCCCCGATGAGCTCAAGTTTGATCTGAACTGTCTGTTATACACGCATGGTAAGCTCTGCAGCAACTGCAAGAAGAGTGTTGCTAAACCAAAAGCTAAAGTAGCGTCCTCTGATGATTGTCCTCTTCTGATGTTTTCTGGTTTAGTCTAGATAACCAGGATTATAAGTTTATAACTCGTTTATTTTGGTTTGGTGAATCAGTGATTGTTTTTTTTTTTCTGGTTTAGCCGGAGAATATACGCATGTTATATATTTTATATATTTCCAGAAATGTCTTACAAGAAGCCATTCGAAACTCAACAAAAGCCAGATGATATAGAGAGAAAGACAGTGATTGAGTTGAAAAGTTCATGCATAAAAGTGAACAAGAGCGAGCATTGATTAATTGACGGGTTTAAAGTATTTAAGAACCATGGAATCGAGCCAGGCCTGCTCGTGTACCTGCGCCTCGTAGGTCTTGCAACCACCGTCTTCTTCATCACTAACATCGAGCACTAGCCGGAAATTAACGCCTTGGACATGTTGAAATTCGCCGGAAACAACAGTATGAAACTTTACTTTCGAGTTGTTGTGTTTATTGAACTCGGAGACAGCGAAGTTGGCGATGACATCAACGCCAGGGTCCTTAATGTCTTTGATGGGACCCCAACCACCAGTAATGATATCTTCCATGTTCTTCTTTTTAGCAAGCTTTCAATTAAAAAAAAAAATATAGTTAGGGTTAAGAAAAAAGGAGAAACAAAAGCAGAGGGAAAGTGAAGATTTCAGGTACCGTGTTTTCGGATCTAGGGATGAAACTGAAGGAGATAGAGGTGAACATAGATGCTAGAGTGTTGATGTCGTTGAGGAGACCATCGATCTCCTTGATTTGCTCTTGCCTTGTTATTGCTCCGATGAGATCATGAGCGTCTGATTTGATTTGAAGGTTGGCGTAACCGAGATCAAAGGCGTTATGAAGAGCCGATTTGATTGCCAAAGCCTCTGTCGTGATTGGAGAAAGAACATCTCGTTCTGCACCGTATCCACCTCCGAGCTCTTCGCCATTGCTATCAATGAACATCCAGCCTGCACCAGCGACTCCAGAAGCTGCTTGACAAGCTCCATCTGTAAAGCAGGTGATAGTTTCTGCGACAGGGATCTGGGTTATCTCTGACATGGTTTCGATTGGTTCCGAAACTTCCATCTTCTTCTCTTCTTGTGTTTATCAAGTTTCAACGAAATAAATATTTGACTCAAACCCCACTAAACAACAAATAAGTTAAATTAATAATTGAGAAAATTAGTACAGATTTGTACTTATCCTACAGCATTAAAAGAGCATGTTGACGTGAGTCCACAGCTTTTGGAAGTTTTTTCTAATTATTTTATTTGATTTAGGTACTCATTGCAATTTGGCTTTTCAAGTTTTGGAGGTTTTAGGAAAAAATTAAAGTCTTAGAAGCCATAAATACCCAATCAAACTATAGAAGTTTTAAAATTTTGAAAGTCTTTAACTTCATCCTAAAAATTCTCAAAGTCATTTTTTAAAAAGTTTTTCCTTCACAATAGTTGAGTTTTTATAAAAAGCAGAAAACATGGCTTTTAATATTTTCTAAAGCCACAATTTTTCATTCTAAAAGTCACAGGTTCTACAGCCATACT